TCCCCCCCCCCGGCCCCCCCCCCCCAGACCTCCCCTCAGATGCACCCAGACCCCCAGCCCGCCCCCACTCTCCCCCAGACCCCGGGGCAGGGGAGAGGTCGGGGGAAGTCGGGGGAGGTCGGGGGGAGGTCAGGGGGGGGCCAGCGGGGGGGGGTCGGGGGGCAGGGTGAAGTCGGGGGATGGGGGGCACGGGGAGGTCAGGAGGGGGTTGGCAGATGTGTGGGGAGGATCGGGGGAGGTCGGGAGAAGGCTTGGGGTGAGTCTGAGGGGGGGAGGGGGTGTCGAGGGGGATCGGGGGGGGGCGAGCGGGAGGAGGTTGGGGGGTCGGGGGGTTTTGGAGGGGGGTCGGGGGAGGTCGGGGAAGGGTCGGAGGGAGGTCGGGGGTTGTCTGGGGGGGAGGTCGGGGGGGCTCGGGGGGGGGAGGTCGGGGGGAGGTCGGGGGGGAGGTCGGGGGGGAAGGTCGGGGGGAAGTCGGGGGGAGGTCGGGGGGGGGGGGTGGGGGAGGTCGGGGAAGGGGGAGGTCGGGGGAATGTCGGGAGGGGGGGGTTGGGGAGGTTTAGGGGCGTCAGGGGGAAGGTCGGGAGGGGGGAGGGGCAAGAAGGTGCCACTGCTCACACTTACGTGAGCAGTCGCGCCCCCTGGAAGGTGCCACTGGTCTCGTTTTGAGTGTGAGGACCCCCTGGAAGGTGCCACTGCTCACACTTAACTGCTTCCCCTCCCTTCGCCACTCCCCCGTGCCCCCCGACCTCCCCCCCCCGACCTCGCCCCAACATCCCCCCGACCCAACCGCTTCTGTGGAGGTGGGGGGGGGAAGGGTGGGCGTCTCGGAGTCCAGGACCCCCATTACTTGGGAACCCTGTTCGCCAGCGCGCCCCCCAGAGGGGACACGCGAAAAGGCTAGCAGCTGTTCCCCTCGCACTGACCCGTAGGGACTCATCTGATTCAGCGAGCTTCTCCTACGGGGTCATCTCTGAGCTCGCCCCCTTGAGTTCAGGGATATGCCCCCTGCCTGCTCCATGAGAAGTGTGGGGCTGCAGCATAATCTAATCGCAGGGGGTCTTGCGAGTTGCACGCACAGCTCCTTCGTAGGTGTTGACGTTGGCCCCCTCTATGCGGATGACCATGACCTCCTCCTCCTCCTCCTCCTGTTCCCTCCTCCTCCTCCGCCTCCGCCTCCGCCTCCTCCTCCTCCTCCTCCTCCCTCCCCCTCCTCCTCCTCCTCCCTCCACCTCCTTCTCCTCCTCCTGCTCCTCCTCTTCCTCCTCCTCCTCCTCCACCACCTCCAGGGTGTGTCGAGGTGCCGCCTGGTGCCCGCCTGCGAACGCCTCGCAGGCGCCCGGTGCGCTGGGTGGACGTGCCAGGGCCGCGCCTGGCGCCTGCCCGTGAGCGTCTCGTGGGCGGCTCGCGGGTGCCCTGTGTCCGAGCGCACAGCCTACGCCACATCGGCTGCATCACATACGTTGCACAACCACCGGGTAGCAAGGCACTCCGGGGGCCCACGCGGGCAACCCCCTTTTTGAATGCAGGGCATGGTGTCTGAGTCTGCTCGCGAGCCTGCGTGTTCAGGCAGCTCAGCACGACAACTGGTCGACTGCGTTGTGGAACGGAAGCGCGCAGGAAAGGCGCGACTGGGAAGTGCAGAACGCAGCGTGGGGGCCGAATATGCTGCATTTGCTTAAGGCGTTCAGGGCGTGCCTTTGGCCCCCAGAGCTGAGGTGTGGACAGAACTTGCCAACACCGTGGGGGTCATCTTCAGCACTTTTTTCATCCCCATCACGATCTCTGGTCTTGCGCCATTGATCGTTGATGAACATCCGGGAGATAGTGGTGCGTCTATCAAGAGCATTCCGTCGGTCATTGTTGCCGAGGACGATATCCAAGAGGTTTACGCTATTCCGCCGACTCCCAGAGGAAGAACGAGGCCCATGGGTGAGCCATCTTGTGGCCGTTGTGATTGTGGGGAGGGCTCTGTGGGGTCCTTGGGGTCGTCTTGGGGCTCCGTTCGGTCCTCTTGGGGGCCTCCTTCGGTCCTCTTGGGGGCCGTTTGGGGCCTTCTCGGGCGCCTGCGTGCGGTCTTGGGGGTCCGTTTGGGGCGGAGCGCTGGAAATGTCAGGCCGAGTTGCCCCTCTTGGGCCCCTGTTGGGGCCCTCTTGGGCCACCTTGGGCAACTTTTGGGCCGTCTTGGGGGCCTCTTGGGCCATCTTCGGGCCACCTTGAGGGCTTCTTGAGCAGTCCATTGAGCGTTCTTGGGGGCCTCTTGAGCAGTCTTGGGCGATGCTGAGACCAAGGAGGCGAACATTCTAACAATTTACTTTTCCTCTTGGGATGGGGGCGATGTTTGCCTCTTGGGGCTTTTGGGGGATCCTCTTGGAGCCTTCGTGGACCAAGACTTGGAGCGTCTTGGAGGCCACCTGAACAGTCTTGACGCCATCTTAGTTGTTGACGAGCTCTCGTCGGCGTGTTGGAGCCCAGCTAGAATCAGATGAGATGGCATCTGGGGCAACTGGGAGACCACGGAGTGCAGATTTGGAGGCTGCGGAGGCTCTGGGGGTGCGTTTGGGAGCTCTGGGACCCCCCTCCCCCAAATGGACCAGGTGCGTTTTTTCGCACCCTGGAGGATGGGGGCAACGAGGGGGGACAGACAAATGTTGCACATGCCCTGTCACCCCAGGCAAGCGGTGGTCGGCGGACTTATTTTGTGCTGTTGACATTGGGCATATTCGGGATGTGTCTTGTCCCGATTCCCTTTTTAAGTGCCTGCGCATACGGTACAATGCAATACACAAGTTGGATCACCAATCCCGACGACACTAACAGGGAGCAGCTGCTGGCTTTCCGGTTCCTTTTTGCCCGCTTCATGCCTGGGCGGTACTACTACGGGATCATTATGTTGATGCGCAGTTTTGTGATATGCCTCGTGCCTGTTGTCTTGAACGGCCAGCACATGGCCGCCAGCCAGATTGTCATCATGTGCGTGGTGCTCTGCAGTTTCACGCTGGCGCAGCAGCAGATGAACCCGTGGCGCGATCAGATTGCGAATTTCGTCGACGGTTTTACCAGCATGGCCCTTGTCGTCCTCCTTGTCTGCGGCTCCCTGGCCGCTGGGTTGCCCGTGGACAACAGCCAGATCAAGTGGCTTGGGATGGTTGCCTTTTCCGTCTTTTGCATCATCGCCCTTGGCTCACTCGGCCACGCCCTCTGTCGGTACTTCCGCCCAGGCAGCATGTACCATTTTTTCATTTGCCACCATAAGGGCGGGGCCGCGGCTCAAGCGCGCCTGCTCAAGCTGATGCTGCAGAGCAAGGGCATGAACGTCTTCATCGACTCGGACGACCTACAGCAGCTGGATTCGCTCTTCGACATCGTCAAGACCCGTGTGGAGCACCTGCTGGTGTACCTCACCTTCTCTACGCTGACGAGGCCTTGGTGCGCAGGCGAGATCGCCACGGCCTTCCGGAACGGCCTCAAGGTCACAGCCGTGAAGCATGGAAGTTTTGCCGCCCCCTCCGAGGAGGCTTTGAGAGATCTGTCCACGTACATGGATCTGACCGACTGCGCCTTGTCCGAGTTCCACATCAGCCTCGAAGACGTCGCCGCCTGCTTCCGAAAGCTTCTGAGCGCGGACACGCCCACAGTAGCTGTGAGCGAGAACGTGCTCGGCTCGCACCGCTTCCACGGCATTTTGCATGATCTACTGTCGCACCACAGACCCTCGGAGCAGCACGCACATGCGCGCAGCCCTGAGCATGGGGCGTTCGCGGAGAGCATCCCCAAGCAGAAGGACCTCGCGCTGTTCGCGTGCGACGACAGAGACGACGAGGCTGTCGCCACTGTGGGGATCCTCCTGGCAAAGATCGGCGGGGACGTCCTCTCCAGGCGGGCGCTGCCGGGGGTGGTCCTGGCCACAGGTGGCCCCGGGCTCTCCAGGGAGGCTCCAAGAGCTTCCCTTACCAGACTTACGTCGGGCCTGTCCCTCTGCAGGGGGAATATTCAAAAATAGTCCAAAAATACCCTGGGGACGATGTCTTGACTATTTGTGATCATTTGGGGGAAACTTAGAATATTTTTCATTTTTCCTCGAAATCCCCCCTGTAGGGGGACAGGCCTGACTTAATACTAGACTCAGTGGTTCTCAGTGTTCCCAGGATGGCTCGGAAGGCTGGGGCCACCAGGGGCCAGGAGCCACCTCTGCCAGTGCCCGATCCATCACTGGCGCTGGACCATGCGACGCGTCACATTACGCGGATCACGGCGTCGATGAGTTGACCAGCTTGGCGCTTACCGCGCGCGCGGTGGTCGTCATTCTCACGAGTGGGAGCCTGACCTCAGGTCTGCAGCTGGCCCTAATCATCAAGGCCATGGAGGCCCGCGGATGCCAGGATGTGGCGCCCGAGGTGATCTCGCTGTGCACGCCGAACTTCGTGTTTCCAGACAGCAGCTACTTCTCCAAGACCCTCCCGCAGGTGCTGACCTCTTTACTCCTCGTCCTCCTCCTCCTCCTCCTGCATCACCTCTTCCTTATAGATAGCTCCTCCTCCTCCTCCTCCTTCTCATCCTCCTCCTCCTGCTCCTCCTCCTCCTCCTCCTCCGCCTGCATCCCCTCTTCCTTGTAGACAGCTCCTCCGTGTCGCACCACCGGACGTGCCGCTAGGGCGTGCCGGGCGTTTTTGCCCAGAAGCTCTCTCACCAGCTATGGTGTCTCGAAGCTGGAAGTGTGCAGCAGCTGCACGGATGGAGGGCGGCACCTTTCCAAAAAGCTTGCCCCCTCGCAGGTGCGCCGCGCAAGAAGGGCAGCTGCAGACCCAGCAGCTGCCTCGTCGTGCTGTTTTCCTCTCCCACCCTCGGGGGGACGCCCCTGATGGGGGACTGCTCCCAGGGCTGGAGGCCATTCGTTTGAGGGTGGCCGCGAGGGGGCAGGCGAACCTTGGTGGTTAATGAAACGATGAATGTTCTACCCCTTGCGGGCAAAGAAAAATAGAAGGGCAGCCCGCCCCCTGGAGGTGTGGGGGGGCGACGCCGAGCACGCGGCGCAGATGATCAGATCCTTCTTCCGGGTCATCTGCGTCGCGTTCAGCACGAGCGCCTCCGACGCCGTGCTCGACGCACAGGCGGACGCGGTGGTGCGGCGCATCCCGAGGCGGCACGACGCGCGGAGGGATTCCAAGTGCTCCAACTCGTCCTCGGTGATGGAGGTGTGACGGGGCCTTCGCGCACCGAATGTGCCCCGGGAGCTTGCCCTCCCATGCAGAGTCCGCAGTGAGCACTCTTCCTGCTCCCTCCCTCAGCTCCCTTCACATCCTCCTCCCCTTCCAGCTCCTCCTCGTCCTCCTCTTTGCTGTTCTCCTCCTCCTCCTTCCTCTCCTTCTCCTCCTGCCTCCCTCCTCCACATGCATTCCCATTCCTCTCTGGCTCTGGCTCTTCCTCGGCGCATGTGGTGTAATCACATACGCCTCCCGTGCACGAGCCCTGGAGCCGGGCTGCTCTTGGGCCGCCCTGCCCACAGGGGCGCCCCGCGCTGCTCGGCTGGTGATGGCTTCCGTGGCGCTCTGCAGATGGCTCAGCGCTTCGCGATTCGCAGATTCGGGTCATCCCTCGGCGGCGAGCGAGGTGGGGAAGTGAGAAGGGGCGGGCCTTCTCAGAAGGCTCGGAAGTCCCCCGGCCTTGTGCGAAGTTTTCTAAGTTTCCCCCGAAGACAGAAAAACTTCTCGGAAGGCGCGAGGGCTTCTGAGAAGTCCCGCCGCCTTCTGAGAAGGCCTTCTCCTTCTCACTTCCCCCCCTCGCTCGCCGCCAAATCCCTGCCTTGGGGTCTGCGCAGATGCTCCGGCCCAAGGCGCCCGTGCACGAGAAACGGATCCGCAGCAGAGGCGCGGCCGGAGGCGGGAGCAGCGGCAGGCGCATGCGCAGGAGGACGCGCAGAGGGCCGCAGGACGAGGAACAGGTGGAGGTGGGGCAGGCAGCAGGAGGAGGAGGCGGAGGAGGCGGAGGAGGCGGAGGAGGAGGAGGAGGAGGAGGAGGAGGACGGAGGAGAGGAGGAGGAGAGGAGGGAGGAGGAGGAGGAGGAGGAGAAGAAGGAGGAGGAGGAGGAGGAGAGGGCAGCAGGAGGAGCAGAACGAGGAGGGCAGGGCGAGGAGAAGCAGGGGGGGGGGGCCGCGCGGGGAGAGCGGCAGCCCTGCGGACCACGCGAGGCCGCGAGAGAGGAGCGTGCGCGCGGGCCGCGCGCGCGCGCGAGCGCCGAGGGGATCTGACTGTGGCGCGCACGGCCGTCCCCGGCAGGTCTGGTCGGGCTGGTCTCGGGCCGGGCGAAAGGGGGGGATTGGGAAAGGGGGGGTTACGAAATCTGCCGCATGCAGCTGGTTTCGGCCTCACCGAGGGGCCCCTTCCTCGATACATGGCCGCCTCCGGCGCCGGGAGGCGCTACTTGAGCTGATTCTCAGACCCCCCCCTTTGCTATCCCCCCCTTTTGCCCGACCCGATGGTCTGCGCAGCTGGCGCGCGCTTCTGCTGTCGCGGCGCGTCCTGCTTCGCTCCGGGGGTCAGGTCCGTCCGGCGGCGCACGGCGGCGGTGGGGCGCACACACTCGTGCACACGTGGCCTGCCCCCGGCCTTATGTCGGGCGTGCCCCCCCACTGGGGGATTTTCGACGAAAGATACAAAATACTCCAAAAATGTTCCAAAAAGGCCAAAACATATTCAAAAATTATCCCAGCAAAGCAACCTAACAGCGATGTGTAGAAGCATATCTGAAAGCATTCCCCTTAAGATTCAGATGAAAAACCAGTTGTCGAATTCTGCTGTTCTCGCAGTCGTAGTCGCATTCGCGATGACAGTCGCAGCGGCAACGGCAGTCGCAGTCACAGCCTCAGCCTCAGCCTGCCTCAGCCTCAGCCTCAGCCTGCCTCAGCCTCAGCCTGCCTCAGCCTCAGCCTCAGCCTGCTTCAGCCTCAGCCTCAGTCTGCCTTCAGCCTCGGCCTCAGCCTCAGCCTGCCTCAGCCTCAGCCTGCCTCAGCCTCAGCCTCAGCCTCAGCCTGCCTCAGCATCAGCCTGCCTCAGCCTGCCTCAGCCTGCCTTCAGCCTCAGCCTCAGCCTCAGCCTGCCTCAGCCTCAGCCTCCTCAGCCTCAGCCTGCCTCGGCCGCAGCATCAGCCTGCCTCAGCATTCAAAATGTGGCCCAGGAATGGAGTTCTGGGAACTAGAAGAACACGAAGTGGCCTACAGTTGGCTCCGGGCATTCAAAATCATGCCCAGGAATGGAGTTCTGGGAACTTGAAGAGCACTAAGTGGCCTACAGTTGGCTCCGGGCATCCAAAATGTGGCCCGGGAATGGAGTTCTGGGAAATCGAAGAGCACGACGTGGACTACAGTTGGCTCCGGGCATCCAAAATGTGGCCCGGGAATGGAGTTCTGGGAAGTCGAAGAGCACGAAGTGGCCTACAGTTGGCTCCGGGCATCCAAAATTTGGCCCGGGAGTGGAGGTCTGGGAGCACGAAGAGCGATTTTGCGAGGATGTCCAAAGCGATTTCGGCTTCGGCGGCAGCCTCCCGGGTCCCGCCCAGACCCCCCTGAGGAGTCATGATGCTCTCTTTTGAGACCACTAGAAACCTATCAGCAAGAGCTGTTAGGTAATTAGTCCCCATACGATTTTGGATTTTTTTTATTCTTTTTATTATATTTAATATATCTTCGTCGAGAATCCCCCTGTACGGGGACAGGCCCGACTTAACCCCGGCCACCATCTCAAGAGGTTCTGGGGTGCTGCTCGGGATCGGGCCGAACGCCTTGTCGCGTGTACTCTCACGTTTCGGCATGTGGCTGCGTGCACAAGAAGATGATCGTGTGCAATTGTGAGGCGGAGACAGATTCTGATGTACACCCCCCCCGCGCGCCACCTTGCATTCTCAAAAGAGATGTTCAAAAGAGGGCGTTCAGAAACGCCCCCAGCCTCAGCGGATAGGCTGAACGCTGTCAGAGGCATTGGATCGTAATGCATACTGAAAGCCTGAGGTGCTTTGACGTTCGGGTGCGATTTGTTCGGCTCGGGTCGCCAGCAGCTCACGACCCGGAGGTTACCAGGGAGGAGCAGTGCGGAAGTTCAGCTTGCTTTCAACAGTCGTGCGCGCACCAGAGTATCTTCTGCCATGCGCTGGTGTCAAGGATTAGAAGCCCCAGGTCGATTGGATGGCCCCTTGAAGGTGGGACACCCCGCCCCGCCCTAACAACCAGAGTCGACGACCAAACGGAGCGCATGCCAACCTCGGCGAGGGGGGAGAGGGAGCGCCAGGCAGGCTGACCAGAGCCCCAGCGGACATTCGACCATCGTCCAGGCAGAGGTTATACATCTCTTAGGTGGAGCTCTGGCTCGGCAGCGATTTGACCACATGCTCTGTAGGGTCGATCGAGTTTGTTCCCCGAGGGGTGCTCTCGCACTCAGGGGATCTTGCTTCGACGTGTTTCGAACTGCATTCGTGACAGTTGCAAGTATCTGGCTGACATGTTCTACATTTTCTGAGGTTGCTTGGGCCGCCATGGCTTGGCCTCCCATGAACCCGTATGGCCTCCCGCCCCACTGGCCCAGCCCATGGTTGACGACCTTGCTCGGTGGTTGCACGGACCCTTACGGCTTCTGACCTGACTTCCTATGTTTGACAGTCGGTGTTTTGACCCCCCAGGTTGGTTCCTCCCCTGGCCTTGGTGGTCGTTCGTTCTCTAACGGCTGCTTGTCCCCATCATGGCGTGGACCCACATGGCTTGAACCCGTGTCGCTCGGGTGTACACATAGGATCCACACATACCATTTCATCCGCATTGGGTTCCACATACGTAGAGTTCCACGCTCATGTCGCTCGACAGCCAGAATGAGCTGTTTGTTGTTCACGCGCGTCTGTGGTTGTAGGCGAAGTTCGGTACCTCTGCGATCGGCCGTGAGACTTCCCACCAGCTCGCAGCACGGCGTTGATCACGCAGCCTGTTTAGCGCCACGCGGCAATTGGCTCTGACGAGACGCATACCGACAACCCATGCCCCATTTCCACCATACCGTTTCTGGCACCAGCCTGCCAGCAGAGCAGACCGACCAGTACATCGAGGACTCTTTCGGTGGCAGTGGCTGGGTAGTGGGTGATCGTCAGGCTAGTTGTTTTCGAGCAGGGTCTCTGCGGGAGGTTCGCGCCGCGTTGAAACGGGACCCTAGCGCGGGCGTTCATGGTTCACTGCCGCCAGTGGCCCAGAATCAACCGATAAGAGGATCCGTGCCATCGGAAAGCCGCAACCGTTCATGGCTGAACGGTTCCCACGGTGTCAGAAACCAGCGTCCACGTCATCGCGACGTATAGCGCAGCATTCGAAGCTGGGCTGCGCGGTGCTGGTGGGGCAGAGCACCGTTCATGAGCGGGGGATCCTACAAGTTTTGGAAGAATTTTTCAGCCGACTTCCTTTATGTAGCTAGGGATGCTCCACTGCAGCAGGCGCGTGCGATGAGAAATCTTGCTGCCCCAAGGGGCCCCCAGAGGCCCCCAAGAGCCCTCCCAGAGGCTCTCAAGAGGCGCCCAAGAGGTCCCCAGGCAACCCCCAATCCTCCAGATGCCCCGAGAGGCCTTTCCTGCTCCTCGCCCTCCTCCTCCACGCCCTTCTCGACTTCCTTTATGTAGCTGGGGAGGCTGCGGTCAGCATCTCGGGGCAGCGTGTCGATCTCGTCTTGGCCTGGGGCCCCAGAGGGCGCCCAGACCCTCGCCGCTCCCCGCACCGGCCCCTGGGAGCAGCGCCGACGCCGAGGTGCCTGCTCCTGGGAGCCGTGCCCTCATGTGCTGGACACGTGGCCGCACTCCCGCGGGTGCGCCCCGGTGTCCACAGGCGGAGGAGGAGGAGGAGGAGGAGGAGGAGGAGGAGGAGGAGGAGGAGGAGGAGGACATGATGCGCCAGCTTCCCCGCTTCTGCGCAGGTCAGCTGCCACAGGGGGCGCGGAGATGACCGCGCTGCGTGCGCCGCGGCCAGGGCGGCGGCGCTTGCCGTGTCAGTTTGGGCGTCGCGAGGGCGCGAGGACAGCCTTTGCACCTCGCGCACTGCCCGAGCGCGAGGTGCGAAGTTGGGTGGCGGAGACGACGACGACGCCGACGACGACGCCGACGTCGACGTCGACGACGACGACGACGCCGACGCCGCCGACGCCGACGCCGACGGCGACGACGACGACGACGACGACGCCGAGGCGCTCTGGCCGAGCCGCCGCGGAGCGCCTCCGTGCCCGCGGCGTCGCGGTCGAGGGGTCCAGGCGGCAGAGGGCCTCCCTCGAGGGCCTCCAGGGGGCCCTGGAGGCCTGGACCTCCGCAGCCTTCTGGTTGGCGCCGCGCCAACATACGAATGCCATGTGTCTGTCGCCCCCCCCAGGGGCGACGCGCGCACCGAGAAGTCTTATAGTATATGCGTCGTGGCGGGCGCTTTCTGGCCACGCCGCTCGGGAAACGATGTACTACAGGATGGGCATACTGAGTGTTCGGGTCGGACGCGCGCCTCCGAGGAGGACATATAGTTCTAGTCTGTCTCTGTGCGTCCCACCTGGAGGCCTTTCGGCAAGGCACCCTGGCCATCCTGGGCCCCTGGATGGTGCGAAGACCTGCCTCGGCAGGGAGGGCGTGTACGCCATGCAGGTGCCGATGATGGCTGGCCTGGGGGCTGGGCACAGTGGTGGTCTATATGGGTGCATTCTGCGCAGAGGTGTCGGTCGCTTGTGGACCATGGAGGGATCTTCGTTCCTCTGGGCCTCCTAGGTGGGATTGGAAAGGTTGGGGTCGAAAGATCGCGCCACATCGCCGGTGCATCGGCGATGCATCGGCGATGCGGCTCGATGTGGGGCCCGATTTTCTCCACGCCGACGTCGCCGACGCATCGCCGACGTCGCCGATGCATCCCCGATGCATCGCCGAGCATCGGGGATGCGGCGCGATCCTCCGACCCCATCTATTCGGACCCCGTCAAGAGTTCCCATGGTTCCCTTCGTTGTGCATAAGTGTTGCTCAGAGGCGGACCGTGGGCCACCACATCACGCCCGGTCTGTCGGTGAAGCAGGGCCGTTCTGTCGGCGGTGCCTGGATGATGAGGAGGAGGAGGAGGAGGAGGAGGAGGAGGAGGACGCATCGCAGGAGACTGAGAAGAGGACTGATGAGATGAGGAGGAGGATTAGGAGCGGGAAGAGGGATGAATGAAAGGAGGGATCGGGGATGCAGAGAGACGGCGGTGGGATGGAATCCCACACTGGATCCTCACTCGACCTCACCCTCAGTGACAAGGCAGATCCACGTCGATGGCGTCGCGGTGTTAAATTCAGGGCAACACGAAGCCAATCGGTGCGATGGTGCTTCAAATTCAAAGCCCGCGTTGACCTTCTAGGCGTTCGCGCGGATCTCTGCAATCTTTGGGACGCCGAGAGCGACAGGGGGGTGCAGGATGGTTGTTATTATCTTTGATAGCCAAGGTGCGAAGGCTCATCCTCCTCATCTGCCCTCCTCCCTCGTCGATCCTCCCTCTTCGCTCCTTACTCCTCTTTATTCTGCTCCTCCTCCATACTGTTTCAAGCCAATTTTGCTCAAGACCGTCTTGGCTTGAGCTCGGCGCGGTAGCGAGTCTGTCTGTTCACTTCGCTTGCGTAACGTAACCTGTAGTTCGGAATTCTGCATGATTCTTCCACTCTACGGACAGCATGCGCAGAGCTTCTCAACCATATCAAATTGCGGAAACAGGAAATTTGGCGACCCCAAGGACGACCAAACGATAGAGGTAAACCGCCGCGCTTGGATGGTCTGCCAGCTTCCCGGCGGATGAATGCAGAGGCTGAGGAGTTTCACCCGGTGGTGCGATTTAGGCACACCGTTGATGATATTTCCATGGTGCGAGCTTTGCCTTGGGACGCTTCACCTTGCGATGAACATGAATCCGCTGGTGGGGAATCTAAGAAGGGTGGAAAGTAAAGACCTTTTGGTGTTCACAGAGAAGTTCCTTCAACGATAGCAACGATGAAGTTCCTTCAACGATAGCAACGATGGGGGCTTAGACGAGCCATTGGTTGTGGAGCATCACACCTCGCAGAAGACGACCAAACCTCAACTCAAGATTTCAAAGCTGCCAAGGAGTCATATGCCACAGTCTGCTTGCTGCAAGTCCTGCAGTCGAGGCGGTTGGCGTTTCAAAGGTCAATGCTCGCAACGACCCGACTGCGGATGTCAGTATACTTTCGACCAGTCTTGCCAATATGATGGCGACCAATATATTCCTCCGCCTCCATCGCCACCAAGCTCACCACCACCCCCTCTTCGATGTGGGCTTCTTCGGCGTCAACTTCTTCTGTTTCGACGTCATCCACTTCTTCGGCTAGCACGCGCCCATCGCCGCGGTCCGCGGGCAGCGCAACTTCGTCGGCATTCAGTGCTTGCCCCTCGCCTTGGAGCACTGTGGTGGACCGATGCAAGCCTGGAGCGTGCGATTGCGCTACCCGCTGTGCCGCCAGCCGCACGCCCGCCGCGGCTCCGCGCGCCTGCGTGCCCACCTGCTCCCGACGGGCATCCAGACGGGCCCAGTCCGCCTGCCGGGGCGAGCCCGGCAGGTCGGCAGCTCTCTTGCCCCCTCGTTGGGCATTTCACTGGAGCTACCTCTGGAAGGCCCATGCGCTTTCTCGCCCGCGGCCCGCTTCGACACCTCCGGACCGCCCGCTATGTGAAGCGGCTGCTCGCTGCTCGACACGACTTCGCGAACACAACGGGCTCCTAACGCTACATCCGGACTTGCATCTGCATGGGATCATCCGCGGGATTGCCCCCCCTGGCGATCGCCGTGCCAGAGGCGCGTTGGGGTGGGCGTCGCAGTGCGCTGCTCGTTCCTGGAGCATTTCAACGCGGGTCGCTCGCAATGGTTGGAGATTTGCCCCGGCCCCGGGTCGCCGTGCAGCGGCTCCACGGCCCTCGCGGCATGCTCGGCGTCGCGGCCACTTATTTCTCACGCCGGATCGCGCGCGAACTCCAGCCCTCCACGGCTGACCATCGTGACGGGCGCCTTCACTTGGGCCACCGGCGCGGCGGATCGGATCTCCTCGGCCTCTGGAGACGTCTCTCGTGCCCGCGCTGCTCCTAAAGAGCACCATTGGCAGCGCAACGTACAACAACCGCTCCGGTTGCATGAGCTTCATCAAGAGGCCCTGTTTCGTGCATGAGCCACCGCCAGATCTAGTTTTACGTGAATGTCGGCCCCTTCAACCAGCTGGACAAGCAGCTCGGTTGCGCAGCGCTGGAGTGGGAGAGCCAGCTGTCCGCCCACTGCGCGCCGTCTTTCTTCCGCCTGAGCCCATCCCGCCTCTCCGAGGACCTGCGCCCCATCTTAGCGGAGGCCGGCCGGCACGAGTCCTGGCCAGAACGGGCTTCCATTGCATATTCTTCGTTTTTTGCTGGTGGCAGAGAGCGCGGAGAGGTCATCCAGCATCTCATTGTTCTGAGGAGCGCCATCCTGACAGTCCCCGACCGCGCCGCTTCAGAGCTATCCTGGAAGACGCTGGCCCCCGCCCACGCCGACGACACGGTGATTCGTGAGGCCGGCGGAGGACCCACATGTGGCGCCGCTTGGATGCCCGCCCGCCGCTGGCCCGCCTCGTGCCAGACCCCGCGTCGCCAGCGCTGAGGGCACGCGACGGCCTTCGGTCATTCCGCCAACGCGCCATCGAGCTTGCGAGGAAGGCGGCCGCGGTCGATCAATCAGAGTCGCGCGCGGATGTGCCAGGCGCGTCGGAGGGCGAGACGCGAGCCCGAAGAGGTCGCAGTCACGCTTGTCTGCACAAGCTACGCCCTGGCCGTTCGACATTTGCGCGTGCAGCCCAGGCCCTGGATGGCGCAAATCACGCCGACCCGCAGGCCGTGGCCAGGTCGCTCCAGCGCCATTGCCGCGAAGTCTCCGCTGCACGACGTACCGATGGGGCCCTGCTCGCACAGCGGTTCCGCGAGGAGCTCCCGGAGCCGCCGCTAGGCCGCGCCCGCCCTGGCCTGCCGCCGCCAGATGGCGCGCGACGGCGGCTGCGACGGGCGGGCGTGGGAGCGGCGGCCGCGAAGGCGCCGCGCTCCGCCATTGGGCTCGGCGTGGCCCCCTTCCTCGCGTGGATGCGCCTGGGGAGGTTGGCGTCCGACGCCTTTGTCCGAGCGGCCCAGGACACGTCGGCCGCTGGAAAGCTGGGCCGCCTGGATCGCTGCAGCCAAGATACACGACGCGGCGTTCCCCGGGCAGAATTTCAATTCCAGCTCGATAGTGGTTCGCCCGAAAAGCCGATCTGGTCAGAACGCCGCTGCCAGCGAGTCCTTCTCCCCGTCCGGCATGCGGCGGTTCAGTGTTGTCGGCGCCGCGCACCGCGCCCCGGCCAGCGGCTCCCGGCTTCGCGTGGGAATTGTGCTCGCCGAAAGGGAACTTGTGCGACAGCGGTTTTTGATCGGGCGTGCGCTGATTTCGAATGTGGTCGCTGTGGGTCAAGAGATGATGCGGCGCGCGCTTTGAGCCAGCTGCAGCAGCGGCCTCCTGCGATTTCCGCGCGGCCACTTCGAGCATCGGGCACCAGTTCCTGAATGACATCATGGATGACCCGCCTGCGACTTCCAGCTTTTTTTTGTGCGCTTCTCCGAAGGAGCTGCGAGCTGGCCGCGGGTGGCGAGAGGGCAGTTGGTGGCTCTCGGCACGACGGCTTCTGCTGGGAAGCTGGAGTTCGTCATGGGTGCCCTCTCTCGCCTTTAGCATTTGCAGTTTCCACCGACGTACTCTTGCGACAACTGCGCCGGCTTGCGCCAAGCTGTCTCGTGCGCGCATACGCGGACGACCTCATAGTGGTGCTTGGTTCAGGCTTGCAGCGACGGCCTCTTCTGTCGGCAATGTTGATTGAACGCGCGCTGCTACCTCGATTGCAGTTGAGCCTGCCGAAAACAGCGTTTGCGCCTCCCTTTCCCAGGAGCGTCCCCACGGCGGTGGCGAACAGTATGGCCGCGACATACTTGGGCATGGGCGGCATCGATGCCATCTCAGCTGCCAAGTATCTTGAATCCTGTCTTGGACCAGAGCGAGGGCGTCGCACGTGCGACACACCACTCCGCAAGTGCTCCGAGCGCGCCCTGGCACGGGGGCCGGTCGGCGCGGGGCTCTTGTTCGCCCTCTCAGCTTGAGCCGCGCACATCCTGCCTGTCCTCGGCTTCGTCGCACAGCTGGACGCCCCGCCGGACAGGTGGGATATGGCGGAGGCCGCGGCGTTTCAGAAGCTCTTTCCAGGACCGGGCGTTCGGCGCCAGCCCGGACATATGCAGTGGCGGTGCACTTGGGCATCTCGAAGGAGCTCCCGGACTTGCGTCGCGCGTCGACCGCCGCGCAGTGCCGCGTGGCGCGCTACGGCCCCAGCGTGCAGGGAGGCATGCGGATTTCTGAGTGCGCGACCGACCTGCGTCGCTGGCGCAGGGAGGCGGACGAGGTGGTCCGCCTGAGCCTTGTGTGCCGACTGCTTCGACAGAGCATTCGTTTTCCAGCTCGATGCGTCGGCGTTGCAGTGCGCGGCCGCAGGCGCCTCGGCAGCAAGCGCGGAGCGCCTGTTCGCGCACTGGTCCTTCAGACCGTGCAGCAAAGTCGTTGAAGCCTCGGTTCGGCGCGGCTTCTGCAGCGGGTGCTGCGGCGCGAGCTGAAGCCGTCCCCCAACGGGCACATGTGCCCGCGGATGGAGCACCAGCTGCATCGTTGGGGGCTGCTTGTGGGGTCGGCCGAAGCGGCATCCCGTGCCGGGGCGGCGCTCTGGCAGCTTGGCCCGCTGGAGCATCCGCGCGTCTTGGCCGCGGTCTTCTGGGCGTTGTGGAACGACTGGCTGACGGCGCGGCGCTGGCCTCGGGGCCCATGGTTGGCGCAGCGTGCATTCTGCTTGCGCGGGATTGGAGGATTCCATCGAGCATTATGCTTGCTGCTGGTGGGTGGTGCCGTTCGCCCGGCGACGGCTGGGGCCGCGCTCCTGCGCAGCCGCCCCGCAGGCAGCCCAGCTTGCCGAACTCATCCTGGTCGCCACCGCCCGCAGAGAGCTTGGGGGCCTTGCGCACAGCCGCCGTGTACAAGGCGCACAACTGGCGGCGGCATGAAGCGCGGCGCACACCGTAGATGGCGCGGGAAACGCTCAGCCAGGCGGTCCTGGTCGTGGGTCGCGCCCGGACGACCCGGATCCTGGACGAGACGATGCGCCCCGCCCGGCAATGATAGCTCCGCCGTCTTTTCGTCGTTTCGTTCCTCAATTCCCTTCGTCGTCCGCCGTTGGTGTCCCTCCCCTCCCTCTCTTCTTCTTCCTCCGTGGAGGCGCAGATTCTTCCAGTCTTGACCAGCTGATCGATGGGAGCTGGAGCCGTTGCCGTGCCGCTGTTGGCAGGACGTTCCCCGTTTCATTCCCTCCCTCCCTCCCTCCCTCCCTCCCTCCCTCCCTCCCCTTTTTCGTGGAACCGCAGATCCTTGCAGTCTTGACGTGCTGATCGATGACAGCTGGAGCCGTGGGCGCGCCTTTGCTGGCAGACATTCCACTTCTCCTTCTCTTCCTCCGTCGCCAGCCGTCTGTGTCCCTCCTCCCCTCTCCCGTCCCCCGTGGAGACGCTGGGTTTTGCACTCTTTCGCATGCTGGCGCGCGCCGGTTGAAGCCGTGGGTTCGCCCTTGCTGCCAGGACGTTCCCCGTCTCCCTCCCCGCCTCCGTGTTTTCCCGATCGTGCTCCCAATGTGTGTGTTGGCGCTGCTTGCATGCTGGCCGAGGCCGTTCCCTCGCCGGGCACTGTCCGACCGCGTGGGCCAAGGTCAGGGTAGGCCACGTCAAGGCAAGTCTGGTCGAGGAGCCCGCGGAGGCCCCTTGCCCCGCGAGCGGGGACGGAGGGCGTGAGGCACTGCGGCAGGGAAGCGCGCATACGGGGATGGTGCAGCTGTCTGCTGAAGTTCTATCAGATGCCAGGCGTGCCAACACACATGATTGAGGCATGGATTTTTCCAACCGCTGCTAAGGGGAACGCTGTTAGCGGCGGACGACATCCATGAGACTCGTGCCGCGGTCGTGCTGCAGAAACGGATTTGCAGTGTCTGTCCACCGACGCCGCGGCCGACCGCGAGGTCGGGGGCCAGCTAGGCGCCAGCGTAGTTCTTGCGCGGGACATTATTACGACCCGGTGGTGGCAAATCTTGCCACGCGTTTTTTTCGCTTGCATCGTTGCCCCGCGTCTTCCCAGCTCTGGCCTGGAAGCTAACTGAAACCGACTATCTTGCGGAGCTTCTTTGAACGATTAGATGCAATCTTGGAATTATGTTGTGCTTTCGTGGCGGTCGCTGAGGGACCTTTGACAGAAGTGTGCGCAACCACCGCGTCGAACAACTCCAACTGAAAGCGCATCTATCTATCTGTGTGTATATATATACAGTTTTAGTCAAAAGTATTGTTTTTTAATGCAATGTCCCCCATTCGCGTTCCATGCAATCGTTGACATTGCACTCTGGTCTGTACCGGAAATCGCCTCCAAATTTCTTGTCGGGATATCTGTGGAACGCGCGGGACATAATGACAGGCAAGTGGCAGCCAGCGAGCTGCAAAACGCGAGCCTCGTCGACGTTGGAAACAGCAACATCATGTGCAACTCCGCATGTCGTCTGCATTCAGTGACAGGCTGCATGCTGATATTTCTTCCGAAAGAATGTCCAGCATGCGAGTAACCTCTGCGGCGGAAGGAGCATAAAGTAAATGTCACCCGCCTACCGTATATTGCTAAGCAGATGGACGCCTCCCAACGTCGAAGCCACACTGTTGATCTCGTACTTTGATTTCCGAGCTGCGTGCTCTAAGCTGGCGTTGAAGAGCAACGATGACAACACGTCCCCTTGCTTGACGCCGCGTGTAATATCAAACGCTGTGCTGCCGCTGACGCTTCCCCATTAGGAATTGTATATGTCTGACAAGAGCCGCACGTACTTTGCGTGAACTCCTTGCTCTGTGTGAGCCGCCGCCCTGGTTCTCTTGGGTCCGCCTCAGGTTTGCACCGTGGGTTTGGCGGGGTTTGGCATTCGTGGCCGCCGCGCTCCATCTCGATCCTCACGCGTGCGTCACACCCAGACTAACCGCACTGCTTTGTGCCAATCGTTGTCCAGGGCCTGACTGGCGCACTATTTGAGGCACAGTGAGTTTCTCAGTGTCTCTTCTTTCCATCCCCTCCTTTGCTGGTTCCTCTGCTGTATCACGTCAGGAGTTCAGGGTATATTCCGACCTTATGTCAGGTGTTGCGCTGTATTACGGACCCTTGCTTGTTGTTGTGGCCGTTTATAGAGTGAATGATTTTCGGATCGTTAGGTATGCACCCACGCTGGTGTAAAGTATCCATTTGGTCTCCTCTCGGTCCTCCGCCTCCTCCCCTCTTCCTTCTTGCTGTGGCGAACAACCGCCCGAATGTCCGCCCCGAGCTTCGGCCACGCTCGCAGGACATCCCGCTGGCCGTCTTGATTCCTTCCCCGGGCAGGTGTTGGCAATCACGCTGCCCACCCGCCGCGCTCCGGAGCCGGCTGGCGCCGCTGAGAAAGGTAGCGCGCCCCGTCATTTGCACGTCTCGTTCAGGTGTTGACCCACGGAGGTCATAGGCGTGGTGGGTGTCATCGATTGTTCAGTTGTCATTGGCACTCTTGCGGGCAAGAGCAGCCAACTATGTTGAAGCGCCAGGAGGCACATGGGGATACCCCGATGGTCGACACACCGCGCATGCCGCCGTTTCGTGCGTTGGAGCTGGTACAGCCTCACATTCAAGCTTCATTTTGGCATGGCGCAAGCGTTGGCAAGTGCATCGTCCAGCGCCCCTTCACGCTCTTGGTTCACGTCGCCGTCCCGGTGCTGTGTTAGACAAAGCACGCGGTCGAGCGAATGGAGGATATGGCTTCCAAGACTTCCCGATCTGCATCTCATGCTCACCTTCCCTTTGGAAACCTCTCTGGGGCGGAGGCGGAAACTTTCAAGAATCATCTCCAACGTATCATGTTAACGACACGTTCTGCTATAAGTGACACGCTCCGTGTGGTAGGTATATCAGTCCATGATGCCCAACCTCAGAAGTAAGAGTTGTGTTTTCTGGCGCAAGAGTGTTCAACACAGCATTTGGCATGAGCTTGTGGTCACGCACCGCTTATTTCCACAAGAGATGTGATGTGGATTCGCCTCCAAAGGCGGGGCCTGAGTTAACAGCATACATTATGTGAACGTCAGTGCTTGTTCTGTGCACTGTCGCGACACTTGTAGCGTGTTTAGCAAGAGTCGGGTGGCGCCCGTCCCTTATCCCATCTTGCTCTTCCTCCTCCCTTCCCTCCTCCTCCTCCTTCTCCTCCTTCTCCTCCTCCCTTCCTCCGCCTCCCTCTGCCTTCCTCCCTCCCCCTTTGCTCCGCACTCCTCGGACCTCCCCGGGATCGATTTGGGACGGATGTGTGCTGGGCGGGGTGCTTGTAGGCTTCTAGCTTGTACTGGTGCCGGGGAGGCTCTCTCATTTTCGTGCAGGGGGTGGGGGGGTAGGCGTGCCTCGATCGAGCCTGGGCCCGAGAGCCAGATGCCCCCCCGAGACTTGAGAGAGGTTGCCCGCGTCCTCGTTTGAGCTCGCCGAAGCCTCTGGGCGGCCATGCTTCCCACGCTCAGCAGGCGAGACCGGCGAGCCATGGCGGGAAGCCCCACGACGGGGAAGGCTTGGCTTCGCCAGCGAGACGCCCCAGTCGGTGGGCGATTGGTGGCCCAGGGGCGCCACGGCGGCCTTTGCGAAGGGGCACAACTGGCCAATGAGGTTCCATCGGGGAACAAAAAGTTGCATAAACATAAGAACTCGGAGGTCCGCGCGAATTTCTCGGATCGGCGCTGGGGCCTCCCGGCGGCGCCTCCGGCGCCGCCCCTGGCGCGCTCCGTGCGCCAGGGAGGGGGGTCCAGCGCCGATCCGAGAAATCCGCGCGGGCCTCCGAGTTGTTATGTTCATGTCACTTTTTGTTCCCCTATTCCAGGCTGATTGCTGGTGGTTGGGCACGGGGGAGCCCCCCGGGCAGGGTGGCTTGCCGGCGGGCGGCGGTTGGGCACGCGCAGACTCTTTTCCGCTGCGAGCGCAGGCGCGACGCAAGGCGTGGGGCCACTGATCGGCCTCTGGGGGCCCCTTGCCGGGCCCCCAGGGCCGTCGGCAAGAACAGCTCGTGGGAGGAAGACCTGGTGCCCAGAAGAGGGGTTCAGGCCTCCCAGGGTCGGGTATAGCCAGGACCCCAGGTAAGGGCACCCGGTTAGTGGTAGGGCCCTGGAGCCCCTAAATTGGCCAGAATCGCTCAACCAGGTCTGCCGCAGCTGGGTTTTTTCCGGTGGCTGCAGTTCCGGTTCGTGGAACGGGCGGGGGGGGGGAGGGGGCGTCCCCCAGTACACATCACTAAACCAGGTCCCGCCAAACCCAGTTCTGCCGACGCCCGACAGGGGCCGGCGCTGTACAAGGAGCGCGGCGTGGGAGCTCCGGGCCTGCGGCTGGGCGCCCCGCCGGCGGGGCACTGCCCCCCTCAGGCGAAGGGCAGAGGGCCCCCATCGGCTTGCACTGGCTCGGCGGGGGGGGTGCAGGGCTCGCTGGCTGCGCCGCCTCGGTCGCGGCCCACTCCTCGGTCTGAGCCGGAGCTGCGGCTTTCGAGCCGTGCGCGGCCGCGTGGTCTTTGCACGGGTCTGGAGTCGGGCATGGCCACGCGGTCCTCGCGCGGGCCCGCTGCCCCCTCCCCTGTTTCCCCCCCCCCCGCCGCTCCGCCTGGTTGAGGAGGGTGGACCCAGACCCCCCGCCATCGTCATTTGTCCCAACCTCGACCTCTCCCTCCGCACTCGTTCTTCACCCTGGGTCGTTTCGTTGACGGCCCCGAGGCCCCGCAGAGGCCGAATGTAGCGACACTTCTCTCGCCGTGCTTTTTTTTTCTCACGCCGCGACAAGGGGGGCCGGGGACGGCGGGGTGCGGCCCTGAGGAGGGCGGAGCGAGGCCCCCGCAAGCCTCCACGGCGCGAGGGAGCGCCGTGGAGGCTTGCAGGGGCGGCGGCGCGCGGCGTGGCGGTTGAGGAGGGGCGGCTTGGCAGCGGCGGGTGCGGGCGCGCGGGCACGGCCCGGGCGGCCGCCACGGCCCGCTTTTCGGCCGCGTTCAGCCAAGCCCCATCCCCGTGCCCATCCCTGCGAGGCCCCCACCGAATTACCCCCGCAGGGTGGGGGCAACCCCCTCGAAACCCGAAGGGGGGAACGGCCCGTATACCCATCTAGGGGGGTAAATCGGCCTGTGGGGCCCAGGCCACGCCGCTGGGGATGGGGATCGGTTGAACGATACTCCCTGTTGCCCTCGCCTCCGCGCCCGCGGCAGGTTCGCGCCCGCGCAGGCACGCCGACGGCCCCGGCGATGGCGGCCGAGGTGGAAGGCCACGGGCTGCCCGAATGCGGGCAGCCTGCGCGATCGCTGCCGTCGGGCGGCGGCGACCGTTCGCGAGGTCGAACGGCCCGCGCGGTGCCAAGGGCCAACGCCTGCGCCATCTCCGCGAGGGCCTGCCGAGCCCCATGTCGCCCTCCCCTCCCTGACACCCCCGCCCCTCCCTCAGATCGGCTAAGGCTTGCACGAATCATGGCTTTCGTGGGCCTGCGCGGCCCTGTTGGGTCGGCGCGGACCCCCCCCCTGTCCCCGCTGCAGCTGGCACGGGGCTCGAGGGCAGCCCCCGCTTGCTTGGCAGGAGCCACCGTGTGATCTTCGCCCAGTGGACTCTCCACTGGATTGTCCTCGTATGGGGCATCTACATGAGCGACGCAAAAACACAGGGTCGTTTGCGCCGACATTGGCGCGTGAGCTGCCCGCGTAAGCTCGCGCGTAAGCGACGTCGTTTCCAATGTGGCGTGTTGCGCTGGCGGCCCGCGTAAGCCACTGCCTAAGGGCGCTATGCCATCTCGCGTAAGACCCGTTCTTGATCGTCGCTCACATGGGGCCCCGTGCCTCCTGCCAGTGGAGTCAAGCTCTTGACTCGTGTTGGTGTGGCCATGCTCTGACTGTGCAGTCGGCTAGCTGGTGCCCCACGAGCGCTTCTCGTCTCCCGAATGGCTAGGCGGTCCCGAGCTCTGACGCGGCTGTGCTTCTCGCCGCCTCGTTTTCGCGCGCCAGGGTGTTTCCCTGGGAGCTCTGGTCCCAGCGCCTGCGGCACCCACGCGGTGCACGACGCAGGCCGTGCCCGTCTCCATACCCCAGGTCCTTCCCTGGAGCGTGCCAGCCGCACCGAGCTCGGGCTGCGGCCAGCCTCTGGGGTTCTGCGACCACTTGCGAGCGCTACCCGTGCGGGTTCAGTCGACGCTGGAGCGTTGGACGACCCCGCTGGGGCTCCCGGCTGTCTGCAGCTTCTGGCCCCCAGCCGGCGTTTCATGAATCTGGCCTGCAGGGATAGGACTCACGCGTGGTTGCCCGGTGGGGTGGGCCGCCCCGCCCCTCCCCCCCCGCGCGCGCTCCCGCGCCAGGACGGCGGTGGGATGGCACCGGGCGCCCGCGACCTGGACGTGGAGGCCAAGGGGGGGCGGGGGAAGGGCGCGGGGCCCAGGCGTGTGCCCACTTGGGGTGCGGCCGTGCGGCTGCCGCCGCCTCGCTCTTCGCCGTGGGCGTGCCAGCCTGCCCCGCCGGCTCGCCGCTCGAGGGCTCGGTGTCAGTCAAGCAGCGGCGAAGCGTCCTGGCCCGCCTGTAGCCCAACCAAACAATGTTCTGAGAACCTTTTGTGGTTTCCACGGGATGTTCTTAGAACAGTTCTGGCGGAGTCTGTCTTGTTTTAGCACGTTGGGAATATGTTCTAAGAACACTGTTTTTAGTATTAGAACATTTTGGGGTTCTGAGAACATGTCGTGGTATGACTATGGGAATGCGGGGACGGTCGGTCCCTGCTCAAGTCAGGGGCAGTCTGCCACGTGCGGTTCCTGAGGTGGGCGCCGCCGCAGCGCTGTCGCGACCCGCAGGCCGCGCCGTGGGATCAGTGAGGTCGTGGTTGCGTCTCCAGGGCCAACCTGTGTGTTCGAGGCATCGTGGACGCGCCCGTCGAGTGAGATGCTAGCCGGCCGACGGGCGCAACGTCATCGGTCAATCTGACTGACCGTGGCAGTCGTGCCGATACGCGTTCTGGTGCGGCTCACGTCGTCGAAGCACGCGAGGATAGATCCAGATGCCTGCGGCAACCCCCACCACTGTGGCAGTGCAGCAGGGCAGCGGGCAGGAGTGACTTTAAGACTCTCTCCAGTTCAGTGCTCTATCTGCACTGTCGCGGTTCTTGAGCCCCCTGCTTGTTCGCAGCTTCCCCATCCTCTTCCGTCCTCCCTCCTCTTCATTCTCCTCCCCTTCATGCTCCCTCCTCCCTTATCAAAACACACTGGAGGCGGTAGCCCGTGGAGAGCCGTCTTTGGCCCCAGGGTCGTCTCGCGCGCGCTGGTTCCACAGTGCTCTCCCGAAGAGGCTCGCTTGAGTCATCCTGTGGACTTTGAACGACCGTCTAACAAAATCCTCTGGGCCCGTCTTCTTGAAGGGGGTGTTCGGGCTGTCTTCGGGCTGGCTCCTGGCACTGTGTGGGCTGTCTTGAGTGGCATTTGGTGGACGCTTCGCGGCTCCTCGGAAGCGTTCCCGAGACAGGGGCATCCCAGAAAGGGCCCTGGCTTCGAGGGCCGAAGGAGTTGCCGCCTCCTCCGCGGCGGGAGGTCGGCGGAAGGTCGGCGGAAGCGAAAACCAGGCCGCCCCCGCCGGCCGGAGCCTGCGGGAAGGGCGGCAGAAGGTGGCGGAAGGAACTGAAACATGCGCCCCCAAGAGATCACACAATGTTTGGGGTCATGGTTTCCGAAACTGGATCGGACAAGAACGGGAAGCGCCGCTGTAGTCAAATGGGCGTATTGGGCGAAGAAGAAAGGAAGGCGAGGGCAACGAGGAGTCGATGACGAAGGCGAAGTGGCGAACGTGAGGATAGCGAGGAGGAGCACGAGGACAACGAGGAGGAAGAGAAGCACAAGGACGAGGACGAAGAAAACGAGGGCAAAGACGAGGAGGATTTGGGTTCATGGTTTCCGAAATCCGCCAGATGATCTGAAGGCGAAGTCTTCAGAAGAAGAAACTCTCGCAGGCTTCCAGCGGCGACACATCGGCGAGATGTTTGGAGCCTCTGTGAGCTCCTCGGCGGTCTTGGGACGTCTCGCCGCCGCTTTAAGGGGGCGGCCGTCTCGATGTCTTTTTCGAGCCTCCTGGGGGCCAGGAGGGTTGGCGCAAAAAGCAAAACAACGGGGGGGCGGCGGTTTTCTAACCCGGGCTGGCAGGGCCGCTTACGATGCAATTCGATGCGATTCGATTCGCCCGCCGAGGCCGCGATTCCGATTCGATTCGATTCGGTGCTTAGGCATCGGCCGGGGCCAGCCGGAGCCAGGCGGTCCGATTTCGATTCGATTCGGACGATTCGCCAGTGATCCGATCCGTTTCAGATCTGGTCCGATGTCGTGATTCGATCCGGCTCAGGCCTGCCCGAGTTGGTTTAGGGGGGTGGTCGGCTTTAGCAGAAGTCAGGCGGTGCCAAGAGAGGTCACCATTAAGGGAGTCACCACCTCCCCGCCGAGATCGAGGATCGAGGATGAGGGAGGGATCGAGAATCGAGGGCGTTTGAGGGCGCATTCAAGGGGTCACCACCTCCCCGCGGAGATCGAGGATCGAGGATGAGGGGGGGATCGATAATCGAGGGTGTTTTAGGGCGTATTCGGAGGATTCTGTGTGGTCAGGGGGGCCCGTTTCCTCGGAGGAGACTGCGACACATCCCAGTGGTGGCCCTCCTTGGCATTGCCTGCGCAGTACGGAGATCTTACCAGACAATAGACATTACACCCCTGCTCAGAATGAAGAGCACTCGAAGCTACGAAAGTGAACTTCACTCCAAGCCTTTTCTTAGACAGTAGCCCAGCTCCGCATCTACGAAAGTTCTGCGAAACAAAAACTATCGAAAAGACGCCCAGTGTCCAGTCCACATTCTGGGTTGTCGTCCACGACACCTGGAGTCCACGACAAACTATGTTTCTTCTTGAGATGCTTGATGGGTGTAGTTGATGGAGAAGGCGGATGTGAGAGATGTTTTGCACAGGGGTTTTGCCTCAATCCTTCTCCTCCTCCTCCTCCTCCTCCTCCTCCTCCTCCTCCTCCTCCTCCTCCTCCAGCCGCCGACGCGGCCCAGACCCCCCCTTCCAGAGGCGGCCCGCCGAGGACCGCCCCTCTGCAATGGGGGCAGCCCGCGGCCCGCAGGCGCTGACTCCTGTGTGCCGCCCCCTGGGGGGGGGACAGGCGGCACGCCGGCGGCCCAGGTGCTCGCTGTGCCCCCCCTGTGGGGCTGACGGACATGCCGAAGCGGTTCTTCCTCTCCCTCGTCGGCACCGTCCTCGCCGTGCGCTGGAGCTTCGCGGGGTGCTGGGAACCCCACATGCTGGACACGGCGTACAGCCCCGACGGGGCCTCCGTGGTGCTGCGCAACGTCGGGATCTTCGGCTTGCCTGGCACGGGCGTGCGAGCGCGGCATGGTGATGCCCACCGCGCGCCATCGGCGCCGTACCACCACAACGTGCTGTTCGGCTGGGCTCGGTGTCGCATCGTCATGAAGGCTGGCGGCTGCGCCATCAAGATCAACAAGAATTGGTTCGCCAAGAAGGAGCTCAGACGGATCGCCGCCCCACCCCCCGCTCAGCTTGGGTGTGGCGGCCCCGCGTTCGGTTTGGCGGGGCCCGTCGTGGTCGTGACGATGGGGCTGTACTTCTCCCCGAAGCCGAGCGAGGGCGGAGGCGTCAATTTCTACAGGGACACGTGCGACCAGCTGCGCGGGGGGGCGAAGCAGGTGGCCTGGTTGGCCCCGCAGAGATACACGCCCGTGGATCGCATGGACCCTGACTCGGGCCTGGTGGATAAGGCGAACTCCGACGTCGAGGGTGCGTTCGGGGCCGAGAAGGAGACGGTGTGCGGGGCCGGCGTCCGCGAGTGGCTGCCCTCCGTCGGGCGCTTCGCCATCAACACCCACTTTGTTTGTGGCCACACCTTCGTTGGGACCAACGGCACCTGCCAGGACGACTACGTCTGCACCCCCGCTGCGGCGGCGCCGCTGGCCCCCTGGACGCTGGCGGGGAGGCGATCGTCCCAGGTGGGGTGGCCCTTGGCTGCTGTGCTGGACTGCACCCCCGTCGTGCTGAAGATGAAGATGGTCCAGTCGATCGTGGGCGTGCCGAAGATGATGATGGTGCCGCCGATCGTGGGCGAGGGCTGCGTGGCGATCCTGGGCGCGTTCCTGCGCGTGCTGGTGTACCACCGCGCGTCCTTTGAGGTGCTGGAGGACAGCGAGGGGACCGCGCTGCGCTGCTGATGAACATGCGCCCCACGAAGGCGCTGATGCGCCTCTCCCAGGCCGTTGCGTACTACGTGCTGGGCGCCCGCATGACGAATGAGAAGTGGCGGAGGCAAGGGCAGGAAGCTGCGGACGGAGGACGACGGCCTGCGCGAGTTGCTGCTGCTGCCGACGATGCAGGTCACCCATCGCACACAGCGCCGCCGCGCGGTGTGGGGCAGGCTCACGAAGGCGATCATTTGCGGCGGCGGCCCGAAGACCGTGAAGATGATGCAGGAGGAGCCCAGGACAGTCTTGGTGAACGCGAAGGAGATGAGGGAGCTGGTGAAGCGGATGAAGGAAGCGGCGGGGCAGGCACTGGCGTTGGCATCAGGAACTACCGTGCGCACCTGTGCCTCTCGCCGTCGTTGTCCGAGTGGGTGCTGTCCCTGGCGCCCCCCCTGCCGTGCGGTGGCATGGCGGGCGATTTGCCGACGGCCCCGTGGTGTGCCGAGCTCACTGGGGAATGGTACAAGCAGCCGAAGGACGCCGACGAGAGTGCGAACCCCGACAACTATGAGGTCCCTGCTTGCGCGCGGGTGCTGGCGCTGACGGACATCAAGATGACGGCCAAGGTGCCCTTCTGGCTCTTCTGGCAGGCGCTGCTGGGGAAGTGGGTGATGGCCCCACCGCACCTTGGCCCCCCTCTCGTTCGGGTGCACGCTTGACAAGAAGAGCGGGGAGGCTGGGCCTGCTGGGCGCCGACTGCTGCATGCCTGGCGACCGGGGTGGAGGGCGTGCACTCGGGGACCGCTGTGGCAGAGCGGCACTTTTTGGTCACCTCGGTGGGCCCTCGCGCGCAGAAGGAGGAGGGGGGTGCACGTGATGATGGCGATGAAGGGACTACGTTGTGGCCAGCCCATGCTTCGTAAGAGCTACGACGCGACGGTGGAGGGCGCCTGCGGCTCGAAGGACCAGCTGGAGGAGTGCGCGCACGGCAGGCTGACGGATGATGGAGAACACGGATGCTGATGCCAGCTTCGACACCGCTGTGACGGGGACGAGACGAAGCCGCCTCACGGTGATCATCGACGCTGCTGGTGTAGCTGGTGGCTGGTGCGCGGTTCGCAGCGGCAGCGGCGGCTTATTGGGCGACACGTCGGAGCCCGAGTTTTTCACGGAGAACTACCATGATGCGGTCTTCGCCTGGCCCGCCTGGAAGCGGATGAAGGACGGGGCGAAGACGGCCAAGGACGCGAACGACATGCCCGCGACGGACTTGGCGGACGTGGACGCGGCCGTCGCCCTTCGCGTGATGCGCGAGTTCGGCTCCCCGGCGGCGACGATGTTCTGCGGGACGGTCGAGGCGCTCGTGGGGGAGGTGGTCGGGTGCGCCAACGGACAGACGCTCGTGGCGACGTCCACGGACGTGGGTGGCGACTCGCCCGACTCCGCGTCGCTGTCCAGGCTTGCGAACTGCTACCACTGCTACGAGAAGGACAAGGTCAGGATCGCGCTTGCGATCAACGACAAAGAGAACACCCCCTCGGACTCGTTCATGCAGAGCGGCAGCGTGGCCACGTCGGTCACCGCGCCCGCTGGACCCAGGAAGGACGAGCTCTCGGCCTGGATCGACGTGCTCATACCGTGATGAGGGGAACACCTGGTGGGAAGGACTCCAGGAGGCCGAACTACCTCGTCTACCACGTGGTGGACGTCTGCTCTGACGTGTGGCCGCGCACAGTGTCGCGCCTTTGAGCGCGGCAGTGCTGCCGTGGCACCAGGAAAATGATGGTAACGGCCTGAGGCCGTGGACAGCGGGCAGTCTCATCAGTTTTGTCGTGTGCATGCGTGTGCGGCGCGGCGCGTGTGGCGGGCGTGTATGCACCCAGGTAACATTGCTCATCAGCTGCGTACTCCTCCTCCTCCTCCTCCTCCTCCTCCTCCTTCTCCTCATGATCATCATATATCGGGGGGTGAGGCTGGCCAAGCGCGAGTTCTACAGCACGCCCTCGGGGGGGCATGTTGGTGGCGTATTTTTCTGGCCCTGGGAGGCCTCAAGACCGCCCCAGGACGCTTCAAATACGGCCAGAGAGACCCCAGAGGACCCGACGACGGTCCAAGAGCGCTCCAGGAGGGTTCAAGATGGCCTCCAGGCGGCCCAAGAGGTCCCCAGGACAGCCCAAGAGACCCTCAAGAGGACCCCCCAGGGGGCCTCAGGAGGCCGACGACGTTTCGTGTTCTTACGTTGTTCAAGTGTTTTAACGTGGGTTCTCGCCTTTTCGGGCTCCCGACGGTCCAAGACGGCTCAAGAGGCCTGACAGATCACCTCAACACGGCCAGGGAGGCCCCCAAGACGGGCCCGATAGAGCCCCGAGACGGCCCAAGAATGCTCCGAGAGGGGCCCCCGTAGGAGCCCGAGAGGCGTTCCAAGAGAGGCCTTAAGAGGGCCCCGGGAGGCCCGCGCGAGGGCCGAAAAGAGGGCCCCAAGAGGGCCCCAACACGGCCCAAGCCCCCCAAACTCCCCAGGAGGCCCCCTTGGACGACCCAAGAGCCTCCAACAAAAATAGTAATAAAACAACAAGCAATACAATGAAACATAAAAAAGAGCCTCCACATAAGACCCCCCAACGGCTTGAGAGGTCAACCAACATGCATGTTCCAAACATTTGTCCTCCTGTTTGTGCTCTCGCGTTTTCGTGCCCGCAGCGGCCGAAGACTGCTCTGAAGGCTTCTGAGAGTTCCCCTACGGGCCAGGACGCTCCCAAGAGGGTCCCAAGACTGCCCGATGCGCAGGTGTCATCCAGCTGACGGCCAGAGAGGGCGCAGAGAGCTCTTGTGTAAGATCTCCGTTCTAACAACAACAAAAAAAACAAGCGTCCTTGGGCAGCAGCTTGCGAGCTGTATTGCCCAACGAGGGCCCCACGACGCCCAACAGTGGCCCAGAACTGGCCCCGATTGGACGAGATCCGGCCATCGTTCCAAGGCCGATCGTTCCAAGGCCGATCGTTCCAAGGCCGATCGTTCCAAGGCCGATCGTACGAGAAGCCGCCGATCGTTCTTAAGGCCGAGCGCTTCGCGCGGTGTCAAAAAAAAACACCGCCGACGCCGCCGAGACACGGAGCAGCCGTGCGCTATAGGGTCGCGTCGTGTCGACCCGCGGTGGCCCCGCCGCCGGCGTTTCAGCGTGGAACGCCACTGGCGGCCCAGAAGTTTAGCTGCCTCGGTACTGCGCCGGTTTTGATGCATGCCTCGCGTGCGGATCATGTATTAAAAAAACGCAGGGGTGCAGTAGTAAGAACAACGATGAGTTCCGGCATACATTCATGCATAAAATAATCATGTATGAATAATCCTATATGTTTAAACATCCCATGTGTCAAAGGCTGCCTCGATACGCCCACTTTGAAGCGCCACACGGGCCGTGCTTTAAGGCGTCCGCGCCAATACGCTGCGCGTCGGCTCAGCGTATTGGCGCCCACGTTTTGGCGAACGTCTCGCGTCGTGCCTACGTTTTCAGTCTACGTGCTGAGCTCCGCAGCAATGCTCGGCGTGTTGCGTGTTGGGTATCGGGGCAGCTGAACCCAGAATCGGTCGATGTCGGACGATCTGACGTTTCGGAAGCGGCTGATCGCTCAAGGATGAATGATCCCCTCGGTGTCAGGAGCCACCGCCGAAGCCGCCACGACGCGAAGCAGGGCTGCCCCGCCCCTTGCTCGCAGGCTGGCAGCCAGAGCCCCGCCGCGGACACTTCGCTGCCAGAGGCCCGCGCCGAGGACTGCGGCCTGCCCCTTCCGTCGCCCCTCCGCCCCCAGATTCTTCCTCAAAGCAGTGCTCACACTGAGTGGCTCTGACTTGTGTTGCAAAGGGTGCCACGTAGCCTGCACCGCACCGGTCGGCACCACGTGAAGACACGCAGCTTCTTCATCCACCGCGCACCAGCTCACTGTTCCGAACAGGGCTGGAACGAGGATGCATCCGTGCCAGAGCGTTACGGAACGCTCTCGGAGGGTTCCGGGACGCGTAGAGAAGGCCGAGGCGCCCGACACATCTTCCAGAGCCGCCGGATATTGGATATTCTCGATGTCTCCCCACAGGGTGTTATCATGGTCTTGGCTTCGTCTCAGTGTTTAAGGCCCACGCTGGCTGAGCTCTGTCGCGGTAAATTGTCGTTTCTTGTCCGCTCTTCTCGGTTTCTGGGGGCCGCTTCTGGGCCCTCGGGGCCGTAGAGGAAGGACTCGGGACGAGAGGCGGGTCCTGTGTGTGCCACGAAACGTGTGAGGGGTGTGCCGAAACGGGAGTGACGATGACGATGACGATCACGACGATGATGATGATGTTGATGCTGATGCTGATGATGAGGAGGAGTAGGAGGATGAGGATGAGGATGAAGATGAGGATGAGGATGAGGATTAGGATGAGGCTGATGGTGGTGATAATGGTGATGATGGTGATGATGGTGATGATGGTGATGATGATGATGATGATGATGATGATGATGATCGGGAGGTTGAGGATTAGGATGAGGATGAGGATGAGGATGAGGCTGATGGTGGTGATAATGGTGATGATGGTGATGAATGTGATGATGATGATGATGATGCTGATCATGGCATGCGAGGAGCAAAGGCAGGGATGGGAGCAGGGAGGAGGGGGAGGAGGAGGAGCGAGGAGGGAGACGCGGGGCGCTGTCTCTTCAAAACGAGGACCCAGCACCACAGGATGATTAGGACAAGAAGCCCAGCGTGCCGTAGGAGGCGGCCAAGAGGGCCTAAGAGGGTCCCAAGAAGAGTCCAGCACCCCATGACGGCCCAAGAGGGCCCCAGAACGGCCCAAGATCTTGGCGACGGACCCAACCATCTGCAGTTGTGCGTACCGTTGTTCTGGGTGCCGCCTTCGGGGGATTTCTTCATTGGGCCACGAAGCGCTGTACTGGGTTGGGGAGGCGCATGCGAACACCGCCATCGGGGCCTTCGGTGGAGCTCTCTATGGGCCACGACACGTTGTATTGGGCGGGGGAGAGGCATGCGAACACCGCCATTGGGGCATTTGGTGGAGCCCCTACATGGCAACGGAACGCTGTACTGAGTGGGGGCGACGCATGCGAACACCGCCACAGGGGCCTTCGATGGAACTCCCCATGGGGCCACGAAGCGCTGAACTGTGTGGAGGAGACGCGTGCGAACACCGCAATTGGGGCCTTCGGTGGAGCTCTCTATGGGGCCGCGAAGCGCTGTACTAGGTGGGGGAGACGCATCCGAACACTGCCACTTTGGCCTTTTGTGGAGCTCCCGATGGGGCCACGAAGAATTGTACTGTGTGGGGCAGACGCATGCGAACACCGCCAATGGCTCTCTCTATGGGGCAACGAAATGCTGCACTGAGTGGGGTGAAACCATGCGAACATCACCACTCGGGCCTCCGGTGGAGCTCCTTATGTGGCCACGAAGCGCTGTATTGGGTTGGGGAGGCGCATTCGAACTTCGCCACTGGGGCCTTCGATGGAGCTCCTTATGGGGCCACGCGGCGTTGTACTGGGTGGGGGAGACGCTTGCGAAAACCGTTAATGGGGCCTTCGGCGGAGCTCCGAATGAGGCCGCGGAATGCTGCACTGCGAACACCGCCACTGGGGCCTCCGTTGGAGCTCCCTATGGGGCCGCGAAGCGTTGCATTGGGCGGGGGTGACGCATGCGAACACCGCCACTGAGGCCTGCGGTGGAGCTCCCGATGGGGTCACGAAGTGGTGTATTGGGTGCAGAGGGCAGAGGCATCGACGGGAGGATGGGGAGGAGGAAGGAGGGGGAAGAGGAAGGAGAGGAGAGGAGACGCGGGGCGCTGTTTCTTCAAAGCGAGGACACAACACCACAGGAGTGTTTGGAAAAAAGGCGCCCCCCCGACGGCCCAATGACAGACGCAATTTTGACGCCAAAGCTCCATAGAACACCAGGTGATTGGAATACCCTTTCTGAACGAGTCAGTGACGTAAAACAATTGTTCGCCCAGGGTCTCAAGAGCGAGCAGTGGCGCAGAAAGCTGGTCTGAACGCGAAGGCTCCCAAGAGCGAGCGGTTACGCTCCGCTCGCAGCCTTCGACGCCAAGGTTCCCAAGAGCGACAGGTGACGCAGGCAGCTCTTAACTCCCAGTCTCCCAAGAGCGAACCGTGACGTAAGTAACTCTTCGCACCCAGGTTTCCAAGAGCGTTGACGTAGTAACAAGCTCTTGGCGCCGAGGCTCCCAGGAGCCAGCGATGACGAGAGACGGCTCTTCACACAAAGAGGCTCCCCAAAGCGAGGCATGGCGCGAAACGGATTTTCACGCAGGGCGAGCAAACCGCCGTCCTCGTATTTTCCAGGGCGGCCTCCGCGGCCGCCGCGGCCGCCCGCCCGAGCTGGCTCGGCAGGACCCCCCGCCGGGCGTCCCGCAGGACGCCACTGCCGCGCCGCCGCGCGCCGGCCGCGGCGGCGCGCCGGTCGTGGTGCCGATGCCGTTCCTGGAGGGGCGGCGCGGGGCTGCCGGCGCCCTGAGATCCTTCGTTCAAGCAGCGGCGAAGCGTCTTGGCTCGCCTATAGCCCTACCAAACAATGTTCTAAGAACCTTTCTGTGGTTTCCATGATCTGTTCTTAGAACATTTCTGGGGGATATTGTCTTGTTTTAGCACATCGGGTTTATGTTCTAAGAACGCTGTTTTTGTTAGTAGAACATTTTTAGGTTCTAAGAACATTTCGCGGTAGGACTATAGGGATGCCGGGACGGTCGGTCCATGCTCATTTCGTGGACTACACACTGTTCATTGCTAATTATTCCATAGTTCTTGGACTTTTTGAGGGGCCAAGATCCTTTCATTTCTAAGTGTTTTTTTCTGGGCCTCTTCCTGGCCACAATTAGAAACAAACGCCAATTAGAAATGCGCACGATTAGAAATGAACGACGTGTACACGTAAGCGTGACCTTTTGCCGGAGTGACCTCTGACGCGGGCCCAAAATGGGGGCCCGGATCGCCGAAGGCGAAGTGGTAGTAGCGTCTGGCGCGCTTGTGTGTTGGTCCCCCCGCGGCCCCCAAGGCACTCTCTCATCAAGGGTCACTCTTGCGTGTAGTCGGTTTCGGCGGCGGGAACTGCACCCGATCTTCGCCGATCCACGATTCGGGCAGCCCGATGGACGGCGGGCTTGGGGTTTGGAATGCCTCCAACACGTGGCGGAATCCAGACCCTACCGCCGCCACCTAGTTCTGGCGCCGCACTTTTTTCACAACAGGCGAATTGGCCTCGTTTCGGGCCCCGGGGCCCTCACAGATCGCTCCCGTTCGAAAAGCGGTGCAGGAAGGGGGGGTCTGAGGAGGAGGAGGAGGAGGAGGAGGAGGAGGAGGAGGAGGAGGAGGAAGAGGAGGGTTCTGGCACTGATTTTTTTCACGATGTCTCCATTTGTTCGCGACGTCGGAGCTCAGGGCGTGCGCTCGCTTCTGTCCGCTCATCTCTCCGTGCTGCTTTTGGCTCCGCATCTTCTTTCCTCCTCGCCGCCTGTGCCCTGTCCCTGCTCGTGCTGCTGCTTTCCACGCCTGGCGCTCGGATGCTCTTGCACCTGCTGGATGACCGGGCCTTTTCGTATTCACCCCGAGGCCTGGGGTGCGAGTGTCGTCGCGCTGCTGGAGAGCACTTTTTTTCGACGGCAGGTGCTCGTTTGTTGTCTCATCCCTGGGATCCTGGCGTGGCCCTTCTTCCACGACGGGCGTGTCCGTCGGGGTTCGGGTTCCGGGGCCCTGACAGCTCGATCCGGCTCGAAGCATGAAGGGGGTCGTCGGGTCTCAAGGAATCGGGGCGTGCTTGTTTGTTTCTTTCTTCGGCGGCGAGCCCGGCGGGGGGAAGACCGATGGGGCGGGCCGTTTCAGACAATTCCGCATGGTTCTGGTATTCGCAGCAAACGTCCAAGCTTTCTCCGAAGCCCTGCCGCCGTTTGAACGGGCATGTCCCCTTTCACGTCCTCCATCGACGCGCCGCCGTGGCCAATCACCATGCCAGGACAGAACAAGGAGAAGGGGAACAAACGATTGGGGGAGGAGTACAAGGAGGAGGAGGAGGAGGAGGAGGAGGAGGAGGAGCAGGAGGAGGAGGAGGAGGAGGCGTGCACAACGCTACGGGCAAGTTGCCGCGTCAATGACCGCCGTAGGTACGAAGTTTTCTTCTGTCCGTGGTCCTGCCGCCCAAACGTAGGCCCGTACATCCTCCCTGTGTTTCTCCCCCCACATGCCCCTCTCCAACGGAAGCGTGCTACTGGTCGTTCCTGCTGAGGCCCGCGGCATTGGCGGTCGCCCCGTAGGGCGATACCTGGGTGCGTGGCGCGGAGTGGGATTGCCCCGAGGCGTTGCGGCGGGCAGGATGAGGGAGGAAGAGATGGGAAGGGGAGGAGGAGGAGGAGGAGGAGGAGGAGGAGGAGGAGGAGGAGGAGGAGGAGGAGGAGGAGAATGAGGCGGGGGAGGAGGAGGAGGAGGAGCTTCGCCACGGTCTCCTTCCTGCTCTGCCTCGCCGCAGTCCCGCGCACAGGTTTCGACCGTTTCGCTTGTTGACCGCCCGACCGACCGAGGAGGAGCAGAAGGAAGGGAGGAGGAGGAGGAGGAGGAGGAGGAGGAGGAGAGGAGGAGGAGGAGGAGGAGGAGAGGAGGAGGAGGAGGAGGAGGAGGAGGAGGGGGAGGAGGAGGAGGAGCAGGAGAAGCAGGAGGAAGAGGAGGAGAGGAGGAGAGGAGGAGGAGGGAGGAGGAGGAGGGGGGGGAGGAGGGGGGAGGAGGAGGAGGAGGAGAAGGAGGAGGAGGAGGAAGAGGAGAAGGAGGAGGAGAAGGAGGAGGAGGAAGAGGAGGAGGGAGGAGAGGGGCGAGGCAGGGCGCGCCTCCCGTGGGTGGCGTCGTTCCCGGGCGGCCGCGCTGCCCCGGGTGACGCAGGCTGCCGCCTGCCGAAGGGCCTCGGCCCTGGCAGGTCTTGGGGGGGGCACGCGCCCAGAGCGTTGGCGAGCCGATGCTCTGCAGCCGGGGCGCGTCCTCCCTGCACCGCCTCGGCCTCCCGGGCCGCCCGTGCTCGGGACTCCGGCGGGGTGGCCAAAAGCGAGTCCGCGGGGCGAGGGCACAGCTCCTGAGCCGGGCACCGAGTGATGGGGGCGCGATAAATGCGGTGGGGAGAAAGGTGCACCGCGTTTGCCTCAAGCCCCCCGGCCCAACAGAGGCACGACAGGTGCACCTTTCCCCCCCCCCTCCCAATTCAGCGCCCCCCACTGACATGAACGCCCGAGTGTGGAACCATGCGGGACCTCTGGGGGCTCGCACTGAAAAAATCTAGTCATCGGATGTCTGGGTATATTCCATGGTTCCGACATTGGGCGTGCGGGCTTCCTGCCTCCTTGGAACCGAAGCGCCCACTGAACAGAACCCTTTAGAGGAAAGGCTGTGGCCAGGTCCCCCAGATGTTTCGGGCCACTGAACGCTGGGCTGGTTGGAAACGATGTCGTCGGCGTGTTGTCAACGATCGCATGCTGGCCCCGTTGAGGTCATCTGCAGGTATGCCGCTGGCGAGTTCAGCAGGTCGCTTCATTCAAGGGTCGCCGAACCTCTGGCGGGATGGCCTTGTAGACCCAGGCAGGAGAACCGGTGAAGGAGCTCCAGTCTCGGGTGCCATGGGGAGGCGGGGTCAGGGCGAGGAGAGGCTTTCCTAGGGCGCACGCCTCAGGCCACCGGGCAGTGAAGCAGGGGCGTGTGGCAGGCGCTGGTCCTGTTCACGGGCGCCTTGGCCGTGCTCTGGGCGGCCGACTTTTTCATTTTCGTGGGGCCTGAGCTGGAGGCGAGCAGCGGCCACCCGCGGCCGCTGCTGCCGCGCCACCCCCTGCTACGTGTGACAGCCCCGCGCGTAGACGTTTCCGCATAAGCGCTGAGACTCTGCAGCTCTGCACGTGCGAATGCCTGTCACTATTTCCGCCGCCCTGTCGGCTCCAGGCGCACGCAAGTTCTGCCGATCCTTTTAGATCTGCATAGTCGGGTCAAAGATCTGCAGGCATCTCAAGGCATCGACGGTCGGTTGCGCATGTACAGTTCTGTGTCGCAGTGTGTGTGTGTGTGTGGCTACGGTTTTCTTCAAGACCCCAAGCTTAGTTTGTATCACCAGGGCCAGCTGTATATCCAGGCCAGACGCAAGACGGTTGGGTTCCACGGTATCTTCTGGCCGTGTTACGCGGAGTTGCTCCCCCCCGTTCCTCAAGACTTCCTTTCCCGTGAAAAGCAGTGCGGCGCGGTGCCATGTAATTCGAATGCAATGCAGCCGAATTCAAGGCAAAGCAATGCGCTGGTCGAGCGCGATACAGTGCACGGTAGCGCAAACCATTACAATGTAAGACAACGTAGTGAGATGAAACGCTGCGAACATCAACGCTCGGCAACGAAAGATCAAGGTTCAACACACATCACTGTACGCACGGCAGTTCAGAGCAGCAGTTCAGAGTCGAGCCCAGTAAGGCGTGCATGTGTTGTACTGCGCTGCAAAGCAAAGGCAGCTCGTATTGCAAAGAGTGCCATTGCCCACGGAGTGCAACGCAACGCCGCACCACGTTACAGTCGGTCGCCCGTGTCCAGTTTGGTCGTTGCCCTTTCCAGGCTCCCGCCTCGTCCGTAGGCTCCTTTTCGCGGGCCTCGCACAGTCAGACATGAGACAGCCATCATGGGAACGATGCTGGCAGTTTGGTCATACATATAGCATGGACGTGTCTATACGACCACCCTTCGGGTGATAAGGAGGTTCGGGGGGGGAACCAACGTCTCACTCGAATCGGTCCCACTATCGATCTCACTATCGATCTCACGATCGGTCTCGCTCGATCGATCTCACTCGATCGATCTCGCAATCGATCTGACTCGATCTATTTCATTCGATCCATCTCACAATCGATCTGACTATCGATCTCACAATCGATCTCATTATCGATCTCACAATCGATCTCACATTCGGTCTCACTATCGATCCTACTATCGATGTCACAATCGATCTCACAAGCAACGTCAACATCAACATCATCGTCATCAACGTAACCAACATCATCATCATGGGGACACTATCATTATCATCATCATCTCGTCATCATCATCATCATCATCACCACCATCATCACCATCATCATCATCGGTGCACCATCATCATCGTCATCATCATCATCATCATCATCGGGGCAACATCATCATCATCATCGGAGCACCACCATCATCACCATCACCACCCCATCAGCATCATAAACAACAACCCCAACATCAGCATCATAGGGACACCATCATCATCAGCAACATTAGCATCATCAACATCATCATCGGGACACCATCATCATCGTCACCATCATCATCATCATCACCATCAACATCATCATCATCATCATCATCATCATCATCATCATCATCATCGGGGCACCCTCATCATCATCAGCAGCATCATCGTCATTACCATCATCGGGCCACCATCATCAAAATCATCACCATCACCTCTTCATAATTCTCATCATCAACATCATCATCACGATCATCGGGACACCATTATCGTCATCATCATCAACATCATCATCATCGGGACAACATCATCATCACCAGTATCATCAACATCACCATCATCATCATCATCGACCTCATTATCATCATCAGCATCATTGGGACACCATCATCATCATCATCTTCATCATCTTCATCATCTACATCATCATGTGATCATCATCAACATCATCATGGTCATCATCATCACCATCATCATCATCATCATCGGGACACCATCATCATCAGCAGCATCATCATCATCAGCATCATCATCATCATCATCGGGACACCATCATCATCATCAACATCATCATCATCATCATCATCATCGACATCATCATCATCATCATCATCATCATCATCATCATCATTATCATCATCATCATCATCATCATCATCATCATCATCATCATCATCATCGGGACACCGACGGGACACCGGCGGGGCACCGCGGGCCACCGGCCCCCGGAAAGAAATCATTTGGTCCGGCCGCGCCTCAGCCGAAGGAGACTTTCTTCTCGCCCGCCCACGCAGCTTCGCCTCGCCCGCACGCACCGCCGCACGAACACGAAACCGAAAGTGATTTCCTGGTACGGGGGCTCTCCGTTCCACTTCGATCTCACCCCCTCACCTCCGATCATACAGTTATCATACAGTAGTGTGTGATTCACATACACACATTAACAACACCGGCTATTGTATACTGCATGTCAGAGTGAGGGGGCCGAGCGGTCATTCATTGTCCCTGGGTGCGTGGCTCAAGTGCGGATCCGTTGTGAGGAATCTGCTTGCTGTTGTTCTTGTTGTTGTTGGTGTTGTTGTTGTCGTCGTCCCCCCCGCGACCCGCCCGCGACCCACCCGCGACCCACCCCGCGACCCACCCCGCGACCCACCCCGCGACCCACCCCGCGACCCATCCCGCGACCGACCCGCGACCCACCCCGTGACCCAACCCGTGACCCACTCGCGACCCACCCCGCGACCCACCCCGCGACCCACCCACGACCCACCCCGCGATCCACCCCGCGACCCACCCCGCGACCCACCATGCGACCCACCCCGCGACCCATACGCGACCCACCCCGCGACCCATCCGCCGACCCGCCCGGGACCCACCCGCGACCCATACGCCACCTGTTGCTACGCATGAAATCAGACCTTTTTGATTTTCAGCCGGCGGTGATGCCCAGTCTTTCCAACCACGTCTTGCCGTCAGGGATTTCGCATCCCCTATGATGATGGGATGGGAAGACGCGCTGCCACCCCCGGCACTGCACGTACGGTGCAAGGTTCGTGGGGATTTGTTCCCGCGGCCCCTATGATGGAAGTTGTGGATGTTGTGTGTCCCTGCTTTTCGACGTGTCGTTGATGTGTCTCGCCTAAGCGCCCGTGAAACGCGCGCTCTCAGAGCTGATGCAAACATGTTGCGCTCACCCTACTCTGGAAAGATACTGGCTGCCACCAGCTCGAATAGGATCCTATGAGATGACGCTTCTACTTTAACCAGATCCTGCTAGAACTAGCAAGAGCTGTTGTACAATAGCCTGGCTAAGGGCCCAACCCTTAGCCCCAAGCGTGTCCATGTACTGTGGTTGAGAACCTCTCTATGCACGATCCGTGGGAGGGATGTGCAGAGCTCACTGGGGGGCCGCATGCAAACTTTCCTTCAACTGGGTCCAGACGTGGAGCTCCATATGGCGCACGACAGGTTGAAGGAGTACACCGAAATTCGCGGGGGAACCCATGCACAGTTGAGCCGTAGATGGGTCTTGCGAGAGGGGTGTGCCGAAACGGACGGCAGTACGCACGAACTTGTTCCCTCTGATCCCGTAGTTTGAATGATGCCGTAGTTGGAACTCCCTGCGGGGGTCCGCGTCGCAGCCATGCGGATCCTCCCGCTGGAGCCACAGGAGGCGCTCCCTTGGAGGCCAGCCACGAAAAATCGACGAGTGTGCAGAAATCGAATTGACGCCGCCGCCATACGTGGAGCCCCCCACGTGGCCACGGTCCTCGTGGTGTGCACCAGAATAAATGGCACCGCCACGTGGACCCTGCCAGTGGGACTGTATGGCTCCCCATTGTGCCACGATCCTCGTGACTGGTTGGACGACGCCGGCCGGCATGCGAAACTTCTGATGACGCCGCGAAATATGTGAGGGGATGTGCCGAAATTAGTACGGTGCCGCCACGGGACGGCATGTGGAGCTCTATGGAGCCACGAAGCGTGTGCCGGCAAAGGGCACCTGGAGAGCAGAGGATGGAGGAGAGGGAAGAAGGAGTAAGAGGAGGTTGCGAGGATGTGCGCGAGTTGTGATTCACCCGAGCCCAACACCCAACACCACAGGGTGGTGAAAATACACCTCAGTAGAAATGGCTACGTCTTCGAAATGATCCCTACAGAGCTGGCTCCAACTCACATGAGGATCCCGCCAGGGTTCGCTATAGGTCTAACGGGACATTGTTCGAGCTGGTTACAGCCCTGAACGGATCTTTCTAGAGCTCTCTATAGCTTTACATAAGGGCCTCCGCATTTCCGACCGCAACTATGACATTATCATATCAGACGTGATCCTATGGCCCTACGGCAGCTTCCACCAGCTCTCAAATGTGATTGCCTTTTGAGCGGTCAACCATCTGCCTGAGGTCTGGCCACTGCTGCCTACAGACCATTACACATCCTATCGGGGAAGCCGTGCGGCCTGCGCCGCCGAACCTGAAGGGGAACGACGACGACGACGGCGACGGCGGCATTGACGACGACGACGACGGCGACGGCGACGGCGACGGCGACGGCGACGACGACGACGACGGCGACGGCGGCATTGACGACGACGACGACGGCGACGGCGACAGCGACGGCGACGGCGATGACGACGCTGACGCCCTGGAGCCGAACAAATTTTCTAACACGGCGGGATGTCCCTTGGGGGGAGGTCACAACCCCAGGGGCCCCCCCGCCACCCCTCCCTCCAGCCCCCAGGCCCCCTCCCCCAGCCTCCCTCTAGCTGGAAGGCTTGAGGAGGAGGGTTCAGGGAAAGGGGGGAGCGGCGATGGCGACGACGACGACTCAAACGGAAAGTCTCCTCACACGCGCCGACAAGGTCGGCGGATTTAGAGCCCACTGTCATTCCAACTATACATATATATACACACATCTGCATGTATGCCATTCCCACCAGGGCTGGCTACAGCAACAATGCAGCCATCATTTACACATGCGTATTTTATTTGGGTACAACTGGCCGCGGTTCTATGATAATCCGAGTTGAGTTGGCGACCGCTTCGATCGGAGCATAACAGTTATGGCTGCAGTTTATAGTCCAGATCTGACTTGAGTTGGCTACCAGCCCGATCTCATCCCGTTCCAACGGGCTACCACGTCGGCAATGTCCAGCCCGAGTTGGTGACCACTTCTAGAAAATCATAGTTCGACTGACGCTGCGACTCTACTACGGTTGTCTAGCAGTTTTGGTGTATGCCTGTTCGAATTGGCTACTCTGGTATGAGGCTACTACAGACGCCCCCCACCCCAGCACCACCAACAAGAAAACATATGTCCATTCGCGATGGACGTCGTTCGTAGAATCTGGTAGAGCTACAGCTGTGTTTGGCTCTAATGAATAACGCCCCGAGCTCGAATTGCCTGTTCACCGCTAGCTACCGCTCTCACAATACATGACGGCAATGCTGGCTACCACTCCCATCGAACCCTGCTTTAGCTTGCTACAAGACTTGTCAACTTAATCCTAACATAACTGGCTGCACATAACGTCAGGTCCTCTTGTAGGCGGCTTCCATTTCACTACCATGCTGCCCGGGGCTGGCTACAGCTTCAGCTACTGCTGTGTATGGATCGTCTTGGAATCTGCCCAGAACCTCGGGGCTCGGGAAAAGCTTCTCGTTCAACCAGTTTTTCCATGGCCCCTTGAGCTCTTCAAACAGACGACAGGGCATGCAGTGATGGCTGGGAGGCAATCGGGTGAGCAGGGGAGCGGGAACGCGGGACAGCAGGAGACCGAGGGAGCGGCAAAGGGCGGATAGCCGGAACGCGGGACAGCAGGATCACGGGGTTGTGGAGGGGAGCGGGAGGGCAGAGGTGAGCGGGAGGGCGGGAAAGCGAAGCAAGCGAGGATCGAGCAAGCAGCTATGCCGTTCTCCTGCTCTGCCGCCCTCCCCCTCGCCCGAGGAGGTCAGCAAACTCCAAGAGCAGTGGAGGAGCAGCTTTGAACGCCAAGCAATTCCCGATCCGAGAGGATCCAGGTAGACCCTCTGTCGAACTCCCACATTTTCAAACATTTTGAGATCTACACATACATATGCATGTATGTGTAAACATATACATACGTATGTACACACAGACATAGATGTCCTGCATGTAGCTCTGCGAATTGTCACGGGGCTCTCCAGCGAGGGCCCTGTTTGAGAGCTGTCGAATCTGTGCCTTCTCTGCCCCCGCGGACGGCGAGCGGCAGGCTGCAGGAGCACAACGGTGCTCCGCGGGCGGAAGCCGGTGGAATGACTGCGGAAGCGGGCGGAAGCTAAACCAGCCCGCCCAAGAGATGTCAATTTTTGTTGAACCCGGTTTTCTGGAGTCGGCCATACATGTCATACGTACTCATACGCACTTTTCAACACATACATAAATATATATATATATATATATATATATAAACACATACATCTACATGTATGTATACATCTATACATATACACATATATATATATATATATGTATGTGAGTAGGGGTACGTGGAACAGATATACGGGTATATATGAATGTTAGCCAGCGTGGGTCCCAGACAGTGTGCTTCCAGCACGCTATTTGCTGCAGTCCATGTGGCGCAGTCTATGTCGTGCAATCTACGTTGAGCAATCTATGTGGCGCAACTCATGCGGTGCAATCTATGTGGTGCAATCTGACGGGCGGCAGCGAGGCGGCGATTAGGCGGCGACGGCGACACCATCGCCGCCAGGCCAACGGTCAGGCCCAGACGGCTTGTGGCGACGAGGCGGCAACGTGGTGACGGCGGCGGCGACAACACGGCCAACACACCGACGTTCAGACCCAGACGGCGAGCGGCAACGAGGCGACGACGGCGACAACGTAGTCAACAGACCGACGGTCAGGCCCAGACGACGGGCGGCGACGATGCAGCGATGGGCTGGCGCACAGCCGCCATACCGACGGCCAGGCCCAGCCCCTTCGACCTTTAAGGAAGAACAGTGAAGTGCAAGCGCTGTCTGGGGAACATTCAGAAGCGCCGATTTTTATATATATATATATATATTCACAGACCTTTTCATATGGGGAAGTGCTGGGCAACGGAACTGGTTGCAGGGCAAGGCCTGGGACACCGTGCGGCAATCCACGGCCGAACCGACCACGCTGGCGGCCACGTGGCACCAAGACCAGTGCCAGTTGGGGGCTGTTGGGGGCAATGTCAGATTTGTCGGCACGTGACTTGACTGTACAACTCGGTTGCCAAAAGCGCAACCTCCAGTCTGCCTACCCGTCCTTCGGGGGGCTTGCTTGCTTGGGGGGGCGCGTGTGGGTCACGAGGCGGATCGTAGGTGGGTCACGGGTGGGTCACGGGTTGGTCATTGCACGGGTCGCAGGTGGGTCCCGTGTGGGTCGCGGGGGGTCGCGGTTGGGCCGCGGGTTGGTCGCGGGCGGATCACAGGGCGAGTCGCGAAAGAATCGTGGGGCCAGATGCGTCGCGGGCGGGGGGGCGGCAACGAGAACGACGACAATCCGCACCACGGAAGTCCATTACAGCCCCGCACCCAGGGACAGCGTAAGAGCGTCCGGCCCCTTTCACTTTAATTAGCTCTGCGGGAAAGACGGAAGGTTTTCCTTGATCCAGGCAGGCCCATGTTTTAGCGATCTGTTCACGCCAGGCAAGTTCGAGTTGTTTTTTGCGGGGCGGGGGTGACGCGAAGAGGCGCCGCTGACTCAGCCGACAGTTGAACACAGTGACAGGCTCGATGCAGTACGATGGGCACACTAAGCAAAACACTAGTCTGCCAAGGTGTGTCCCACGATATCTTCTGATCCGCCGATGGGCCCGCAGAACCTTGGGGCACCTTTTCATTCCCAGGGTCGACGTCGGATGCGCCCCTCCTTTCCTTATCGTACGTTGTCTCACCGTATGTGCTTGCCGTATGTGCACGTTCTGTCCGAAGGGGCTCTATCTCTCACGCCCGCGCGCATGCATCTCATGCCTCGTGCACGCACTCCGCGTCTCTGGGCGGGCAGCGCAGCAGGCTCACCTGAGGCGCGCGGAGTCCAGCGGCGACAGCAGCCGCGTGTATCGCGATCGGCAAGACAGGCCGATGGCGGCCTGCCCACGCGTCTCGTCATTCTGCTCGCGGTGGGATCCACGGGCCGACCAGAAACCTAGCAATACAGCAGGCACAGACTGGGAAATCGTCCTGCCAGCAGATGCCTCACGGGTGATTTCTGATTTTTCGATGGCTCGAAGGACCCACAGAAGCTCTGAAGCACCTCCCGACCCTCGCAAGGTAGACGTATCCTGTGCCCCAGTATTTTCTTGTAGCATGATTCCTTATTATCTTATATGTGAACTGTAGTCGCTGCCTGCTGGCCAATTCGCTTCAACGGTGCCCACGTTTAGTTTGCCCATTCCGCCAGCGCAGACGACCCCTGCCTAGCCGCCGACGCAGAAAAGTAAATTGTAGTCGCCATGAAGGACAGGGGTCCTGAGAGACACGGCTCCTCAGGTTTACCTCAGTCGTTGTTGGCCTCCCGCAGAGCCTCGCGGGCTCCGGGATCGTCAGAAAACGGCCTGGGAAGAAAAGTAGTTTCCGGCGGAAGGGCGCGGAGTCCAGGACCCGCTTCCTTCAGGTCTCGTTGTAGAACCGAGGTATAAGATCGAAGTCGGTTGGGGGAGAGTACTCCAGTGTTCCCTCGTGTTTGTCGGATGTTCTTGTGCATCCTGGTGGAGGGCACCCTCGAATGTATTTCATTTTGGGTCGTCGGAGGGTCTCATGTGATGGATGGTATTATGTCTTGGGTCCGACCGTAGCACATGGGTAGAGCTCGGGCCGGCAGGGGCACGACAGACTGCTGGACGCTTCCTTGGTCGCAGAACCGCCGGAAGTCCCCTGATGATTTCAGCCGGTCAAGGAGAGCGAAGAGCGACGAAGAAGGGTGATGGACGGAGGATAAGGGAGTCAGATCGGACGGGGCTAGCAGGTAGGACGAGAATAAATCTGTTCCACAGAGCGTTCTGGAACGCGCTGAGAAGGCCGCGGTGCCGAATACATCCTCCAGAGCCGTCTGATGTCAGAGATTCTCGATTGATCCTCGCCCGAAGTTATGCTTGTCCTGGATTCGTCGTGTAAGGGGAGTCGAGATGGACAGAAAAAAGGGTAGGGGAGGGGTGTAGGCGCGGGCAGGGGGTACGAAGGAATCAGGGACAAGGGATTGTGCCGGCTCGACTGCCGTTGGTAAGGCAGCCTGCAGTCTGCCTCACACGGTGGCAGGAGCCTGCAGGAGAAGCAGAGGCCAGATCGGTGTTGGAGGACCTCGCTGCCAGTTATTCGTTCTCAATGAGTGTTGTCTAGCGACGCTGTGAGTCCGCTCATTTTCGGGCGAATGAGATTGCGATTCAGAAGGGTTCCGCCCACTACCTCGGACAAACAAATAGCGATTCCCTTCTGGCCCGTGCCAGTTTCTTTGGTTTTGCCTCACTCTCGGCTCTGCGGGGCAGGAAAGCGCAGGCCACGCCAGGGCCTAAGACTCCTAAGTCACGAGTGCCTCGTCGCAGACCGTGGATGTTAAGTGTTCATTCGCGGGTGCCATCGGAATCTATCATTGCACGAACAGTTTCCGTAGCCATTTTTGGCTCAAGCTATTTTTTGATCGAGCTCTCGCAGCTCAGGCAGGCAGGCCTTCGGGAAGGCAGATCGCTCGGTGACTCCCGGACGAAGACAGCCAGCAGAGTCGTATAAAGATGGCGGCCGTGGAAGCCAAATGGGATGTGAAGCAGATGGAGTCTGGAGACAAGGCGTGGTCGCAGCGGACCGGCTCAGAGAAGGTCCTGTTTGTGATCATCCAGGTGCTGAAGGTGGTGATGGCGGTGGGGCTTCTCTACATCTTCCTCATTTCCCTGAGCATGATGGGCAACGCGTTCAAGGTCATCGGAGGCCCCACCGCAGGGAAAGTCTTCCGGAACAACGCCATCTTCGACAACCCGTTCGCGGGCTGTTCACTCGGGATCTTGGCGACGGTGCTAGTGCAGTCCTCGTCGACCAGCACCTCCATCATCATCACGATGACTGCGGCAGGCCTGATCGATCCCAAGAACGCCATTTACATGATCATGGGGGCGAACATCGGCACATCTGTCACCAATACAATTGTCAGCATGTCCCACATGGGCGACGTGGACCAGTACCGCCGGGCGTTTGCGGGCGCAACGGTGCACGACTGCTTCAATCTGTTGACAGTGACCATCCTGCTCCCGCTAGAGTACTTCACTCACATGCTCTACCACATCGGCAGCGCCCTTGTCGAGTCCGCCGGCATCGAGGAGGACCAGGAAAAGCAGGAGAAGGTCGATTTCATCAAGAAGCTTACGAAGCCGGTCACCTCTCGCCTGATCTCTGTGGACAAGAAGCTGGTGACCAAGGTCGCGCAGGCGGACGACCAGGAGACGCTGGACGGCCTGCTGGCACAGTCGATCATCCAGAACAAGCGTACCCTTGACAACCATATGTTCCTGGACACCCCCCTGAGCGACGAGGGGGCTGGGTGGCTGCTGCTGGTCATCTCTCTGGTGATGCTGTCCACCACGCTTATCCTCCTGGTCAAGCTGCTGCAGACGATCTTCCGGGGCCGCGCCGCGATTTGGATGCAGGGGCTGCTGAACCTGGAGTTCAAGACGGTGCCCTTTGTGGCCGACTACATCCTCATCCTCTTCGGCGTGGGAATCACCATCCTCATGCAGAGCAGCAGCATAACAACCTCGACGCTGACGCCGCTCGTCGGAATCGGGCTCATCAAGCTCGACAAGATGTTCCCATTCACCGTCGGCGCGAACGTGGGCACCACCGTCACGGGCATGCTGTCCGCGCTGGCGGGCTCGAACGTCGCGACCGGCATGACGGTGGCGTTTGCGCACCTGTTCTTCAACCTCATCGGAGCGCTTATTTGGTTCCCGATCCCTGCCATGCGCGCCGTGCCGCTCACCATGGCCAGGGCACTGGGTAGCGTGGCCGCCGACCTGCGCTGGTTTCCTGTCGCCTACATCTTCGTCGTCTTCGGGATCATTCCGGGCCTGCTCCTGGGACTGTCCCTGGTGCACTGGGCGGCGCTCGTGTTCGTGGGCCTTCCTATCCTGCTCCTGCTGATTGCTGGCTCGTGCGTCTTCGGCATGCGCGCCTACCACCCGGAGCGGCTGCCTGCGGCGCTCAAGAAGGATTTCTCTTTCATGCCGCCCAGCATGAAGATGGCCACCGCGGACGGCGAGGGTCAGTCCGCCGCGGTGGAGGAGTCGAACATCGGCAGCACCGACATCGGTGGCGCGAGACAGTGGTGGCTGGCGCCCTGTGCCTACGGGCTCGGCTGGTACTCGATCCTGGTGATGCTGATGGCGGTGCCGAACGCCAAGTGGTCCGACATGAAGTACGCGTCCTTCGACGCCCGGGACCACGTCGGCATCGGCGCCTGGAGCGCGTGCTCCGCCATGTTCGCGGAGGAGGTGGGCTGGGCCCCGAGCCCTCTCACGGGCGCGGACCTCGATTCGCACCTCGCGACGTGCATGGCTGACCTCAGCTCCGCCTGCGCCGACCAGAGCGACTTCTCCACCGTCCTGGGCGCCAACACCGTCTACGAGGAGTCGTGGCAGGGGTGCACGGACGCCACGACGGGGGACTGGCTCAGCGAGTGCGAGGCGCTGACTGGGTGCGGCGACCTGCATGCGACGCAGTGCGCCAACGTGTCCGCCGCGGTCGCCCGAACGTACACCATCGACTACAGCCAGTCTGGCACCAAGTGGGCCGCGGCCCCAGCGTCGTCCTGCAGCGCGGACGCCTTGCCGAAGGCCTGTTGCATCCCGCTCGGCGACCTCTGCACGGACGTCGGCGGCCTGACGGCGGCGGGCGGCCTGAGCGTGGCCGGGATCGTCTTCTCCCTTCTGGGGATGGCGGCGATGCTCGCGTACCTCGCCAGGGGGGACAAGCGGGACATGCGCAAGGTACTCTGGGGCACCGCCGCCGCCTTCGGCGTGGCCTGGGTCCTCCTGCTCGCTGCGTGGACTATCGGCTTGAGCGCGCTGGGGCAGGAGACGACGTGCTGGGTCCAGGACGACCAGAACGACGGCATCGTGGCGGCCAAGGGCAAGCTCGGGGACATCGGGAACGGCGTCGGCTACGGGCTCGGCTACATCATCGGGGGCTGGGCCCTGCTCAACCCGATCCTCGCGATCACGGCGCTCCGCGTCGTGGCCGACGTGAAGGCCGGTCCCCCGCAGAAGGAGGAGGCGAGCGAGGACGATGCGGCCAAGGTCTCGACCATCTGAGCACGTGACGGCGCGGATGATCCGTCGTGCGACCTTCCTTCCACCAGCCCGCGCCTCTCTCTCTGGAAGATTTGTCCTGCGCTCTCCTCCCCTTGTTCACGCCCTGCCTGCTGGGCCAGGGATTCCTGCACCAAGGATATCCGCAGGATGCCCCAATACATGCTGACTCTTTTGAGTTCTCGAACTCTGTCGTAACATTCAGCGCCCTCGCGCTGCCCCACGGACACCGCGGGGGGGGGGGGGGAAAGTCGGTCGCGTGCCATTTTTGCACCCGCAGCGCGACAGCGTCGCTCGCAGCCGCCCAGGCTAGAGATGGAAGGAGGGGGAGGGGAGGGGTGAGGAGTGAGGGAGAGGAATAAGCAGCAGAGCGCCATCGAACACACGCAGCAACAGCAGACCACGAGCCTGGATCTTGGGGCGGAGCGGCGCTTGTACAATACGACGATAGCTTTCCACTTGAGAGAATTCAATACGGCAATACAATGTACTCTACGGCGATCGCTTGTACAATACGGCGATACAAGGGCGCTGTCGTATTGATGCGGGAGGTTTGGCCTGGTGCCGAACCCTCACACCTTGGCCGCCAAGCCATGCCTCTCCAGCGCAATTGTTGCAGCTTCGCGTCTGCGCTCGCCGTGCGCCCGAAGCGGTTGCGCCCACAGCGGCTGCGATTCGCACTGACCGAGCCAGTCAGGTATCGCGGCGTGGCCGATTTGCGTGCCTTGGAGCGCGCTTGTACAGTGATCTGCCCTTCCAGGGCGCTTGCCTGTCTCTCGCGCGTGAGCGCGCAGCTGCAGCGCGTCGCCGCACCCTCACACCGCGGCGGCGGGGGCTGCGCCCTGCTCGGAGGAGACGCCGTGAGCATCGCTGCGCGGACTCGCCGCGGGGCGTCTTAGTACGCGTGCCGCTTGGAGAACACGCAAAAAAGCATTGCACGAACAGACGGTCGTGATGGCAATGCCCCGGCTGGCCGCCTGCACACTGGCGAGGCGCCCCTGGGAGGGCGTGGGGCCACACAGGAGAGACTGAAGTAGGACCCCTCGCCGGAGTGCGCTTCTGGTGCGGACCCACAGCGGCCCCCCGCCTGGCAGCGGCCTGCGCGCGTGGATCGGGTCCTCCCCCGCGGCCCCCACATGCAGCCGCGCACCAGAGGTCATGCTTGCCCAGGGGCCATTCGTGCGCGGAGGCGAAGGGGCCCTCGAAGCAGCCTGCGCAGGCACGAGGACGAGCATCCGAAGCAGCCTCCGCAGGCCCTCGGAGGAGCACGGAGACGCGAGACGTCGCGTCGTGGACAGCAGGTCACGACGCAGGTCGTGGACAGCAGTTCACGACGCAAGGGACGCCGCGCTCGCAGGCCTTCTCCCTCTCGTGGGCAGCAGGTCACGACGCAGGGCCTGCGGCAGCTTTCTGCCTCCGAGGGCTCGATGGGCCCAGAGACCGCCAGCGTGTGGCTAGGGACGGACCGCCGTCCCCGGCGAAGGGGTCGGGACCTCCTGAGGGGCTCCCGTCGCCAACAAACAATCGCGACGTCGGACGAGGTCCCACCTCGCCCTGCCCTCTCCGAGCCGCCGCGTCCTGCAAGGCTTGGCTCTCTAGCTTGCCTTTCGCGCCCCCGCCCCCTTGCTCGCTGCGCTCCTCCCTCCCTCCATCCTCCCACTGCCGGCTCGGACGAAAGGGGGGGACTTGGAAAAAAGGGGTGTGGCATTTGCTGCAGGCTGCAAGCTTCGGCCCCACCGCTGGGGGCTTCGTCCCTTAATTGGCGCCCCTGGCGGCTTTCTCTTATAGACATGTGCGCCAACGGGCGCCGGAGAAGCCAGCCACGTGGGCTGACTCGCTGATCTGCCCGTGCTGTCCTCGGTTGTCGCCCCTTCCCCGTCTCAGGCCCGCACGAGGCGGCTCTGCTCGTTCAGGTTGGAGGCGGAACAACGCCAACAACATCAACAACAACACCAACAAGACCAACAACAACCACCAACAACAACACCGACAACACCACCAACAACAACACCAACACCACCAACAGCACCAACAACAACACCATCAACAACCGCCACCAACAACAACACCACCTGCACCACCACCAACAGCAACAACAAACCCCAAGAGGAGGAGGGCGAGGAGGCGGAACCAGCTATGTGGTGTGCCCCTCAGTTTCCAGCAGGACCAATCTGTATGGGCCTCTCTTCGCAGCAATCCCCAACGTGTGGATCGCCATGGCACACCGCAGCCACAGGATTCGGTCCCTCTACCTCCAGCGCTTCCTTTCAACACACGATTTATTTACATATTTGTGCATGCATCGGTTCGTATTTCCGCATGTGTATTGATCTACGTGTACATGTATGTCTGTCATAAACATATGTTTAGTTTAGATATAGTTCAAAGAAGCACCAGCGCCATGCTTCCCCAACTGTGCAGGTGCATACTCCCAGCGCCTCTGCAGCTGGAGTCTGCACCCGCTCGCGCGCTGCACGCGAAGATTCCGCTCCACTCCAGCTCGGCACCTCAAGTGGCGCTGCTCTCGCAAGCCCGCCAGGCACGTCTACTACACCAACGTATTGTGCTTCTTCCTCTTCGTCACCGTCCGCGGTCTCATGCAGCTGAAGCCCGTTTGGCGGCGATTGCAGGCTAGCAGCTGGGCAGGGATCGGCATGACGGCAGCGGCGCAGCAGTGTAGAGGCGGAGGGGGGCGGAGGAGGGCGAGTAAGAGGCGGAAGGCGAGGACAAGGGCAAGTAAGAGGCGGAGGAGGGAAGAGGCAGAAGAGACCCAGATGTCCGACGGCTTGTATTGTTTAATATAGGCGATGTTCCTGATTTTTGGCCCACGGGGCCCGTCTGCGGGCCCCAGGGCTATCAAGTACGTGTCGGGGCCGACATCTTGCCCTTGGCCCAGATCCCCGACGCAATGATTTTCCACAACGTCGACCCTCAGAGATTTCGACCTATTCCCCGGGATCGGTTTTTCATCCCGAGTCGTTTTGTTGACGGTCCGGAGGCCCGGGACGAGCCCCCAGAGGCCGAACATGGCGAAAGACCTCCCGTTGTGTTTTTTTCATTCCTCGAGGGGGTCTGGGAGGGGAAGGTGCTGGGACCTCTGGGCCCGCGCACCAGGAAGATCAGATCGGCAGAGCCGCCTCGGCATGCCGCGAGCGACGTGCCGGGAGCGGCGGGCAGTGCAGCGGCGACTCGAGGAGCGATGCACCAGAGCCCTTTCCTGCACGCGCCCGTGCTCTTCGAGAGTGGGCCGGCAGCAGTCGTGCCACCGCCAGCAGACAACCGGCGATGGCTCCGCATGGAGGTCACGGGAGGAAAAGGTACCCACACTGCTTTCCCCCTCTCGTTCTCGCCTTTCTGGGCCTCCTGGGAGGCCCTCGTCGCCACCGCGGAGTGCGCTCCGACATTTCGGTCAGAGCGTACCCCAGGAGAGGTCCGGGGAGTAGCGGTATCTTACCAGCCTGGATTATATTCCTATCCCTATGCTGGGCACCTCCTCATCACGATGCCAATCTTAGGGATTCCCTTATTTTTTGAGGACGAATCCCTAAGATTGTCATCGCCTTTTGGCGTGTCAATCTTAGGGATAGGGATACATGGCGCTTGTGGAGCCCAGCTCGCCGCCGTCCAGCACCGCATCGGAGGTCGAGCCACCGCGCCGGCACGGCATCACCACCTCACGAGGATATGCGTCTCGCGATCGGAGGGGGAAACGGGGCGCGCCCGAGGAGTGCCACCGAGGTGGCCGTGCACCTGCCAAGCTTCGCGCTGAAAGCGGGCAGCGCCCTCCGCACGGCCAGCCAGCAGCACGCACGGCCGCCTTCTAGGGCGAGCGCACGGCGGCCGTACACCGGCAGCTGCCCCCCTCGCGGAGCGGGCCGCACCCCGCCGGGCACGTCCGCCCCAGGCCGTGCGCATCCTGCGCCAGCTCCTCCAGCTCCTCCTCCTCCTCCTCCTCCTCCTTCTCCTCCTCCTCCTCCTCCTCCTTCTCCTCCTCCTCCTCCTCTTCCTCCTCCTCCCGCTTCCTCTCCTCGTGGGCGGGCCCAGAACCGGGCTAGGTGTCG